CTGCTCTGATACCAGCTACGCCCCAGCTGAGTCTTGCGTAGATTTCTGGGCGCACATGTGGAGTGGCACCAAATCACAATGTAACTCACGATAAATGCCTACGCTCACCTCATCCAATGGCTTGGCCTGGAACGGTTTCTGACCTTTTCACCTGGATGGAATTGAACGGTTGCTATTGTTGATGAGCATTGGAGTCGAGATGATAGTTCCTTTGGCAGGTCATCGAGCATTATATAGGTGGTTTGTTGAGGGGTGCAATTGTTCGCCAAGATTACCTCATAAACGGCTATCGCTTACCGCATTTGAACGAGCCTGATACGTCACCCTCAGCTACCAAAACATTTCCCGAGAAAGCAGTTTAAGATGAGTGTATTAAGTGCATCCATCTAGGAGCGGTGAACTATGCTAGAATATATGTTTACAAAAAGGTAAAACGAAACTTAAGACCCTGGTCAATACGCTTTGTTGCTCATACCCAATCCCAAAAACTCGAATAATATAGGGTTTCCTGCAACAGCTATATACGCAATGCCTAATGCACGTTAGCGTATGCTTGCAAGTAATCGTGGTTAACATACCGGTATAGACGATCAACTTTGTTACAACTTCGACGTCGTAGCGTACTCGTGGCTTCGTAAGCATCATGAAAATCTCACGCTTCTCATTCTCCTCTTCGGATGGCTCATGTACAGTTTTGCAGACACCGCCTGCAGTATCTGTATCACTCTCTGGTGGTGTCACAGTGTTGGTCTCTGGTAGTTGCACCTTACCCGTACCCATCATCTGCTCATACGAATGGACGCGAGATGCCATTGGCGTTGGCAGGAGACGTGCACCAAGGAGCGGGTCCGATTTCTCCGCATTGGGCGTGTCGGGCATCGCTGGGCTTGGTGCCCACGTAGAATTCTCTGGAACAGCACCGTCTAGCGAGTTTACACTTTCACGGCGCCGGCGGTTGCGATACGCAAGCGTCTCATATGCATCTGCAGCGGATTGAGGGCCAACCGAGACGGATCGCTTACGCGGCTGAGCGAGATTTTTCAACATGTGTGGCAGCTCAGATGCAGGCGGAATGACATTATCGTCATCTGCAAAAGGTTTAATCGAACTGTACTTGGATGCATTCAGGAAGAATGCGCGAGGCATGTTCCAGCGAGCCTGTTCAAGTAGACGGAAGATTGGAGGCAGTATGGTGAACAGGGCAGGCTTCATGGTTGCTCTCCAGACGAAGATAACAACAACGCCCAAGAGAATGCGAATGGTTGCTTTGAGCAAGCCCATCTCGTGCAAGTCAAAGGGGACCGAGGAGGGATATGCATCTTGCAGGGCATAGCCCGTTTGGGCATAGTGCCAGGCACCAAGGTTTATGCCTATGACGACGCCAGCGAATGAGACGCTATCGTCGTAGCAGGGGCAGTCGTCGGCGGGCTCCGGATGGACGCGCACGAGAACACAAACTACCAACGTCGCGATGAAAATGTGCACTGTGCTGCCACTAAAGACCCACGAGTCCATCCAGTCGCCGTAGACGAGCTGGAAGGCAGTGATGAGGGCACCCATCACACTGCCCACTATGACGTCGAGGAATCCGTGCATGCCGCAGTATAGGCGCCCGGCTATGATGGACAGTGCGTAAAAGTAGAAAAGGGCCTGGAGGCCCATGTTGAGATTAGCGTTGTCCTGCTGGGCCGACTGGCGCAACGTGTAGATGGCATAAAAGGCCACGGAGACAGCATTGGCAGAGTGCGACGAGGGGAAGCCATATTCGAGCGCAGCCGAGCCCGACATGGAGATGCGGGCGAGAGGAGGTGAGAGGGGGCGGGGGAGGCAGAGCAGATCCTTGAGGAAGCCGGTGCTGTAGACACCCGCGGCAAGCATGAAGACAGTCCTGTGCACGTCAGACATGGCAGCGCAGTTAAGGACAGCAGCGCACGACATACGCTCGGCCGACACTGGTGTAGCCACACCAGAACTGGATGGGCAGGAAGACCATGAAGAAGGTGTGGGTGCCGAGGTTTGCGGTATAGGCAAAGTAAGAGTCGAGGAAGGGCGAGCGCAGCTTATCCTGCAGTAAGGCCAGCCACGGGGTCTCCCAGCGCACAATGGGGATGAGGCGGTTGCGCAGGGCATTGCGCCACTTGGGGAGTTGCTGGGCATAGTGATCGTGGCCCTTGTTGCCGGCGTCAAGCTTGGGTTTTGTCATGGCTGGCGGCGCCTCATGTTGCGGAGGCATAGCGGCAGCAGGCGCAACAGCGGCAGCGGCAGCGGGGAAGAGGAGGAGGAGACGAAGGAGCCGGGCGCGTCAGTCGCTTGTGCATGTCCAGGTGATTGATGCTGGGTGGGTGGCGGTGTTATCGTCGTCGTCGTCGTATGTAGTTGCAGCGTTGGTGGTGGTGATAGTGGTGATAGTGGTCGAGTTGGTGGTGGTAGGGCTGTGCGCCCGCCGTCTGGCAGGCCACGGAATGAGCGACCCAGGACAGGCGGGCGTTGACACTCGGCGCTAGCTTAGCGAGCCGCTGGCGCTGTAGCGCGGTTGCCATATGCGACCGAGTGCTGCCAACAATCAACATGCGCCTCTCTTAAGCCCCGACCACTCGCTCCCCACACGCTCTCCCGCTCCAGCTCTGCTCTGCTTTGTTCTGTGTGTCTTCATTCATACCCTCTCCCTGCTCGCCATCCCGTGCAGCATCAGCCCGCCCGCCCGCCCACCACCACCTCTGGCGAGATATCACCACATATACCCCATACACACAATGGCCGCCACCTCGCAAAACTACGACTACCTGCGGCGCAAGCAGAGCACAAAGTCGCCTGTGTCATCAATGGGCCCTGCCCGCGGCCATGCCCGCACCCCCAGTGAGCGCAACAGCAATGGCACCGTTAGTTCATACGGCACTACCAACACGCGCGACACAGCAATCACCGAGCCACCCGCATACTCGAAAAAGCTCGTCGTTGTCGGCGACGGCGGCTGCGGAAAGACGTGTTTGCTCATCAGCTACAGCTCTGGCAACTTTCCAGAGGTATGCCCGCCTGCTACGCTGCCAGCAGCGACAGCACAACCTCCATTATTAATATAGAGACTAATGCACCCCAGAAATACGTGCCTACCGTCTTCGAAAACTACATCACCCACACGCCCCATCCGCCGTCCGGCAAGATGGTCGAGCTGGCCCTATGGGACACAGCCGGCCAGGAGGAGTACGACCGATTGCGCCCTCTCTCCTACCCAGAGACAGATGTCATTTTCGTCTGCTTCGCAATTGATTGCCCAAATTCGCTAGAAAACGTCATGGACAAGGTAAGAGAGCTAGCTGAGCCAGCACATCCATGCATGCACTGACACGACTCAGTGGTACCCCGAGGTTCTCCACTTCTGCCCAACCACACCGCTCATGTTGCTGGGCCTCAAATCCGACCTGCGCAACAAGAAGAACTGCATCGAGCTCCTCAAAACACAAGGCCTGACGCCCGTCACCTCGGACCAGGGCCGGGCCGTGGCCGAGAAAATGGGCGCCGTCTACATGGAGTGCAGCAGTAAAGAACAAGACGGTGTCGAGGAAATCTTCGACATGGCCGTCACCATGGCCGTTGGCGACGAGCACAAGGAGCAACAAGACCGCCGCCTCGGCACCGCAAACTCAACATCAAGAGGGAACACAACGACGCCCATCCCCGCTGGCGGCGGCAAGAAGAAGAAGCGCAGCGGCTGCACCGTCTTGTAATCCTCATATGACGACGCTGGACGATACGATCAATATGTTTTAATGACCACACGCTGCCCGCCCTCCCTCACTGTCCTGACATGTCTCTTCCTTCCAACACATCATGGTCGAGTCTTTTCATGTACATGGTTTGGGGGCGTTTTTGGTTTTTCTTTGGCACGACAATGGACATAGCGAGTCCAAACGCCTACAATATCATTTCCCTTTTTCTTGTATCTGTATTCGGTATTTAGTATGAGCGCATAGCGAACCTTCTTTCTTGGCTTTGCCTGCGCCCAGGGAGTAAATGAAGCGCAGTCTTTTTTTTTGAACCATGCTCGATTTCCAGCCCTATGACAAGCATTTTACTAGTGACTTGCTCAGGGGTATCATTGCATCATCTTCCCGTAACGCCTTGTTCAGGTTTATATGAACCATTCACCGTGCGCAACACTATGCGGCATCTTGTCGTATCCTCGTCATACTATCAACAGGGGTCCTCTGTTCTTTCATTTCCTCTCATCGGGCACCTCTGTCTCGCCTTCATGCTCGGTGGCCCCCTCTTGCATGCTTTCCTGCTGCTCGTTGGGGTCCTTGGCCATGACGTTCTCAAAGTGACTCCACAGCGACTCGACAGGCGCGAATTCGTTGCCGACTGATGTGACTTCTTCGAGCGAGCGGTTGAGTTTGTTGATGTTTTGCAAGACGACTTCTAGGCTCTGCGACCATGGTTAGCACGCAAGCGCTAGATTGTTGCAGCGACATTGGCGGCCACAATGTCGGTGTGCAGGCCGTAACATGGGACGCACTTGGGCAATCTCCGTCACCAGCATCTCGCGCTGCTGCTCGTAATATGTCTTTGGTACTGCTGCCTCCTGGCCATTCGTAGATCCTACAAAATACGGTGGTGCCATGATGCTGCTGCCGCGGTGTTGATATGTCAAAGGCGAGCCTGTCGCGTCCGCCTCCGGTGTTGCGGGGACCTTGCCCTTGTCGCGCTAGCTAAGCGAGGCTGCTGAAAAGTCGAGCTTTACCTTTAACTCTTTCCTTTCTCCTCACGACTTTCACGATGAAACCTCACAAGTGACAGGTAAGCAAAATATTTTTTTCGTCCTTGCTTTTTGCGCCTTATATGATGAATACCCAATAATCTGTCAATCCCCTGACTCCCACAAGATGGGACCATGGTGAACCAATATTGTATTCACACTCTGATCCTCTAGCCAACTCAGTGTCTCACCTCACCGCTACATTGACCTATAAGAAACTAACCTTTGCCTCGCTTCAGATCACACAATGGCGCAAGCGCCAGCACCCAACCCAATCAAGGAACCATTTCCCATCTCCCTCGTCGGTGGTCGCTACCTCCTCTTTGATGTGGACGTCATTGCGCACTGCCGTCGCGCGCACAACATCTGCGGACTCTTGGTGGGCACGATCCCGAACCTCAGCCAGCAGAACGTTTTTCTGGGCGTACCGCTGGAACTTATGCCGGAAGAGGCTCGGGTACTCGTCGATAAAGGCGCTGCGTATATCGTGGATGATGCGCAGTTTCATGAAGAGAACTTTGCGAAGATGAGCAGAGAGGACAGACTCAGGTACATGGCCGAGATGGATAAGAGAGGAGAAGAAGTGGCCAAGGAGCAGAGGGAGGCTGCAGAGAGGAGGAAGGAAAGGGCCCTGCGCGACAAGGGTTTGAAAATAGACGAGGCCAGTCTTGCTGCAAGCTCGGTGTCTGAACAAACGCTCAAAGTGGATGACTCGAGTCTCTCAGGCTCCGGTCTGGGCTTCATCATGAAAGGATCTAGCTTCTCCGACTCATATACGCCAGTCGAACTCACCAAGGTCGACCCAAGTCCTAGTACCATCAGCAGTTCCAGTCCTGTTAGCTCAGAAACTAGCACTTCTGATCTTGCGCAATCTGGTCTTGGGTTCATTATGAAGGGCTCAAGCTTCTCAGAGTCGTGGGTACAGGTCAAGCCACCAAAGGTTGACTCTCCTGCGCCTACGCCTGCGCCTGTTCCTACCTCGATACCTGCACCTGAAGAGTCTCTCTTCGAACCAGTGTCTGCTCCAACTGAACCTGAATTGTCCAACAAGAGCAACACCGTGAAAGGTGTTGCAGGTCAGAAGCATTTCGTCACGCCCACCACCTCATATCCACCCCTGGCGACCCCCGCCAAGGAGACTGCAGCCCCTCCCCCAAAGGTACCGGACAGTTACCCATTGTTCCGGTATCTGCACTCCAAAGGCTACTATCACATGCCTGGTCTGCGCTTTGGTTGTCATTACAACGTGTACCCTGGCGACCCACTTCGCTATCACAGTCACTTTGCTGCGACTGGTCTGGGCTGGGACCAGAAGTTTGAGCTTCTGGACGTTGTCGGCGGTGGGCGCCTCGGTACAGGAACGAAGAAGGCTTACATGATTGGCGGTGAGGATCCAGAGATAGACGCGAATGAGAAGGAGCCTGTCAGGGCCTTTTCCGTCGAGTGGGCGGCCCTATAAGTGGCATCGCCGAGGATTAGACCGACGAGGATTATGATTTTATGAATACAATGCTAGACTAGAAAGGAAAAAATAAATCACAGTTCAATGTACGCTGCTGTCGCTCTTGGGACTTTCGAATTACTTGTGAATATGCGCTGAGGGTTAATAGTAACAGTACCATCTGCGACACTTCCTGTTATGCATTCTGCTTGTGTAGTACTGAGATCACACGCCAGGCACAAAGTATCGAGATAAAAAAACATGCCGCGGCCTGTGGTTCCTGCAGATGCGATCCACCAATAAGGCGAGTGCAGTTTGACCCCGCTAATCGACCCCACGCGAGCGGTTTGCCAAAAGTTCGTGACAATGCATGCCGTCCTATGCGCCACACCACAACAGCGCCATGGCTTTGCATGACTTGTTGGGACAGCTGCCAGCTGGTAAGTGATTTGGATTCCATTCTGACATCCACTCCTGACTTTGGTATAGAGGTACTCCTCATCTGGCACGACCATCGGCTTCCTATTTTGCTCTCAGCGCTCGTAGTAGCGACAATTGCGCGCCTCATTATTTACTCGCGCGACCGAAGAGAGAAGTTACCGACATCGCCCGTACCTCAGTCGCCCATCCAGAAGCAAAAGGTTGAGCTCAAGCCTGAATGGCTCCCAGAATATACCACGACCCTCAGTTCTCCAGACCTCAATGTTGATAATCATGCCGAGGATGACACAGGCGCTGTGGTCGCGGCCACAAAAGTGAAGAAGGGACCCAAGATGGTCAAGGGCAGGAAAATACCGAAAAAGAGTGTATCCCCAACTTTAGCCTTCGATCACAAAACGGACAAGATACAACCCCTGGTCTTCTTCCAGTCGCTTTCTGGTACAACGGAGCGCTTTGCCGCACAATTCGCGAAGACAATCACAGAGTGGACGACTGGCTGCGACCAAGCTTCTTCTTTCCTCGAGCCTCAGACCCACGACATCTCATACATTGAACACGATGACTATTTTGTAACCCCACCAAAGACCGATGCCAACGTCAAGTACTTTTACATCATCCTCATACCCACGTACAACATTGATACTGTCCTGGATATATTTATTGAGAGTCTCCAAGAAACCCACAATGACTTCCGCATCGATACAGCACCATTGAGTGGGTTGCTTGGATACTCCGTTTTTGGATTTGGAGACAAGGAGGGATGGCCAACAGAAGAGGAAGGCTTCTGCAGTCAAGCTAGGGAGGTTGATAAGTGGATGGCGAGGTTGACTGGCAGAAAGCGAGCATATCCTCTTGGTATGGGAGATGTCAAAAGTGATGCTGAAAGGCGATTTGAAGAATGGAGAATTGGAGTTCAGGAAGCGCTGGTCGAGCTTGCCGAAGGACGAGGACTTGGCGAGGGTGTACCAGGTAGCGGCGATCCTGCTGAGAGTGATGAGGAAGACGTGGATGACGCTGAGGACGGAAACGGCCAATCTTCACGAGTTGACGATGTCGAAGACTTGGGCTCCATGGTCAACTCTTCGTCATCGCCAGTACCCATTGACTTCACAACCTATAAGAAATCTGCGCCCAAACCCAAATCCACCTCTGCCCCAAAGGAGATGGTCCCAACTACTTCTCCCACTCATGCTGCTCTCACAAAGCAGGGTTATAGTATTATCGGCTCACATTCCGGTGTCAAGATTTGCCGATGGACCAAGTCTGCACTACGTGGTCGGGGATCTTGCTACAAGTACTCATTCTACGGTATCGCCTCACACTTATGTATGGAAGCAACTCCGTCTCTGTCCTGTTCCAATAAATGTGTCTTTTGCTGGCGTCACGGCACAAACCCCGTCGGCACCACCTGGCGCTGGGTAACAGACGCCCCCGAGATGATCTTCGACGGCATCACAGCAGCGCATTACAAAAAGATCAAAATGATGAAAGGCGTCCCAGGCGTACGAGCCGAACGCTTCAGCGAAGCAATGCGAATCCGGCACTGCGCCCTAAGTCTCGTCGGCGAACCCATCTTCTACCCGCACATCAACCAACTCCTGGACATCATGCACAAAAACCGCATCTCCACATTCCTCGTCTGCAACGCACAGCACCCGGCCCAACTCGCCTCCCTCATACCCGTAACCCAACTCTACGTCTCCATCGACGCCTCCAACAAGGACAGCCTCCGCAAGATTGACCGCCCCCTCCACCGTGACTTCTGGGAACGCTTCTGCGCTTGCCTCGATATCCTGCGCACCCGCCGCTTCGAACAACGCACCGTTTTCCGCCTCACGCTCGTAAAAGGCTTCAACATGGCCGAGGAAGTGCGCGGCTACGCTGATCTCGTCGAGCGCGCGCTACCTGGCTTTGTAGAGGTAAAAGGTGTAACGTACTGCGGTACATCTGCCGCTGGGTCCGCCGGTCTCACGATGCAAAACGTGCCGTTTTACGAGGAAGTAGCTGAGTTTGTCACGGAGCTGGAAAAGGAATTGAATAGTAGGGGCTTGCAATATGGTATTGGGGCTGAACATGCGCATTCGTGCTGTGTCCTTTTGGCGGATCGGACACGCTTTATGAAGGAGGGGCGGTGGGCTACCCGAATCGATTTTGAGCGGTTTTTCGATTTGAATGAGGGGAAAGTACAGGGAACTCGTGTGGAAGACGGCAAGGTCGTGGGGTGGAGGCCGGAAGACTATGTTGGTGATGAGACGCCTGAGTGGGCGCTTTGGGGGAATGGTGGATTTGATCCTAGGGATGCGAGGGTGTATAGGAAGGGTAAGGGGCCAAAGGTGGAGGCGGAGAAGAGTGAAGGGCAAGAGAAGCAGGAGAAGATGGCGGCTTTGGAGTTTTAGATTGTACAGTTTAGAGACTCCAGTGTAGAGCAGGAAAAGAGTAAGTAAAATAGCTGATATCTTGTCATCTATCTATCGAAGAGTAACCCTGAGGGTATCGTGTAAACCAAAAGATACAATATCTTAAAGAAAAATACGTTGGAAATCTAAACCATACGGATATCATAACACGCCACTCATGAAGAAAAAACCCCCACCCCCATCACTCCCGCCCAAAAAGCAACGGCTCCTTCTCATCCACACTCGACTTCTCCTTCCCCCTCCACTCCTTCAACCCCGCATACGTGCCCCCCTTAACAATCTCCTTGGTCTCTCCCACCGTCCCAAAACAACAATGCTCCACCTTACCCAACGGCCCCTCCCTCGGATCATCCTCCAACAACACGCCAAACCTCAGCTTCGTCTTTGTTAGATCCTTGGGAAACGGGTCACCGCCCAGACACGCACCCACACTCAAATGATCGAGCGTGGGATTCCGCGTGGTAACCATGATACGCGAGAAGAGGACATCGGACGCGACGCCGTTCTTGTACAGAGACCACGCCCCAACGAGGACAAAGGCGAAGGTAATGGCGATTACGATGGCGTAGCCGATCCAGAGAGATTGCTTGTAGTAGACGTATACCATCATTGTACGGGATTTTTCGCAGGCGGTGTTTTGTGTTTGGGCAGCGACGAGGTTAGGATCGCTGAGTAGCGTGATGATCATGTCTTCGAAGAGATCTTGCATTTCGGTTTTGAGATCGACGAGCGGGTACGATGTGCTGCTGTTTGCGAGGCGGGTTTCGGAGAGGTCGGTGTAGGTGATTAGGACGTTGTTTTTTACGATTTTGCCGCGGAGGAAGCGACGGAGGAGCATGCCGAGTGTGTGGTAGGTACTTGCTACTTTGTATTTTCCTACGTCGTCGCTGGGTCGGATGAAGTTTTGTGCGGGAGAGGCGGTCCAGTCGTTTGATTTGTCGTCCCATTGGACGGTCGTGTCGACGACTGGGGCGAGGAAGTCGCGCTGCTTGCGTGTGGCGTTTTGTCGGGGGCTATAGTCCATTTCAAAAGTGTAGTTGGTATAGTGCATGACGCATTTAAACATTCTTGGTTCGTGGACGGTTTTCCATGTCTCGTAAAAGGGCGAATCGGGCGCGTATGGCTGGTAGGTATTGATTGCGTAGCCTATCCAGAGATTGGGTTCACTCTGGATGACACCCAACATATCGCCTTTTTCTTTCGGATTCTGGTAGTGGTAATCGCCTTGATCTACGTCTGCATAGTAGGTAACGTTTCCTTTCGGCGCAAGTATATCCATTGAGAAGGGTGCTTTGTCTTTGTCGGTATCGTTGAGGTCATCGCATTTATATCCTGGACCCAAGAAATTGATCGAATAAGTGCAGTTCCAGCCTTCACCGCAGAACGACATGGCCGCATTCTCGCGAGACTGCGGCTTCTGCATGTAGACGCTGCTAAAGGCCAGGCGCCGAGCGGTCTTAGAAGGCTGGTCATAATAATCAAACCAACCTGGCTGCTGAGCTTTGATGTCTGTTGTATTGAAAAAGCTCAGAGATTTCTTGTAAAAGGACTTTTGGTCTCGAAAATCGTAATCTGCCTCCTGGGCAAAGTTGAGGTTCGCCACCGAACACGTTCCGTTCTCATGCAAGGTACTAAGCTGAGAGGTAAGTGACGCTGGAGAAAGAACAGAGGCCAGAGGTATCAACCTTTTCGCACATGTCAGCAAAGTCAGCCTCTTAATGAATACTTGACTTACCACGTGCAAGCTGCCATCAATGTTGCAAGCTTGCCGTTGCGGGCCATTTCCCAGTTCATGAAAAACTGCGTGGGATCCTCCGTTGCCGAAAATAGGCCATCGATGCCCTTGATTGTCATGGCTTTTCGTCGAAACGTATACCAGATGCGTTGACGATTGCATATGATGACGCACCCCGCGAGCGTACTCTTGACAAAGAAGGCCAGTGCTGTGCCGTACCTGACCATCTTCAATTGAGCTGTAGCCGGCTTTCCGTCAAGATATGCATAGAACAAATGGTGGCCCACTGCTGCAGCAAAACCAGCCAGAAAAAGCAACATTACCAGCGCAGGAGTGGTCCAGTATATGTGCCATTGGGCTAATTCGCCCGATCTCCGGTCCAGTATAGCCTGGGTATCGGCATCTCTCGACGTGCTGTTGTATAGCATGCGATTCATTGTATACGACGACTCTCTCTTTGACTGTAAAGAGGGCCCCAAGCTAGAATTTCGCTCATGAACGGGTGCATACTGCTCGTTGCTCTGTGCAAACCCGAACATTGACCGGGGATGTAGCCCTGTTTGTATGCCTTCATCCGTGTCGTGGGGTGGCGAGCGCCCACGAGAGCCATACGTGTCGCCATCGTCGAGGGATGTTCTGGATAGGTGGGCAAGTTCGATGGGGTCGTTATTTGTATGGAAAGGGTCGTAGGGCTCGGGCCGGGTTTGTGGGGAAACATCGCGCGACGAGTCGCTGGACGAGGGTTCTAGAGAGGTCATGGTAACGTGGTTCCTGTGGTTCCTCGGGGCCTTGGGCTATGGGCGGGCGGGGCTTGTATCATAAACTATGTGATGAAGCTAGAGTGTCGAGCGACAAGTTGCACATGCATTATGATGCGCTCGCACAGCATTCTCGAGCTGAAGGGGCAGCGTATGCGTAAGGGCCGACTTCGCTTGTTGTGGAACCTGGGGAAGAAAATTCCATGGCAGTCGACGCTGTGCGCGAAGACGATTGCTCCTCTTTATGCGCGGCGTTGTCTAGCTGTGGTATTGCCAGTGGACAAAGGTCGGGGCGTAGCGGATGACGGGCCAATGCTCGGTCATTGGTAGGCGATCACACACTAATCATCACTGCGCCCGTGTGGCTGAAAGCTGCATCTCTTCAGGGAGCTGAAAGGCAGCCTGTTCATATTTAGCATGCCATTGTGCCTCACTTGTTTCAGCCATCGTTGTTGTTCGCTGCATCCTCGTTGACGCGTATTTTCGCTGATATGATGCTTGTTTTCACCGCCAAGCGCCACGATAGGCCAGTCTGTTCTCCACCAAAGTCATCAAATATGATAGGGTGAGACGTTTCAGCCGAGATTGTATATGTCTGGAGGGCAACACTGGGAATGCGCTGCTTGATAACCGGCTCTGGGTCCACGAGAGACCGCCTTCTTTCCCCGATGTCTGGCCCCCGACCGGGTACTACTGCTACTGCTACTGCTACTACTCTACTACGCCTGGGATAAGCAGCCAACGGACTAGCGGATACTGACACGCGTCGAGGTTGAGCAGTGTATGCTTACCGTGTATGTGGGTATGGAAGGCAATCGAATGTGGTGCGGGGCGCGGGCAGGGCACGACACCACGCGAGAACATCGCGTCCTTCTTCATCAGGCCCACCCGCCGCAAACCCGGGGAGCTTACAAATGCACGTCGAGTACCGCACTCACCGTTACATTACCAGACATGTACGAGTAATTCGCATGTCCGAGTCATCTCCGCCTTGACACCGGTCTGGCCCTGATGTCTTTGATTTTCTCCTCACTCGCTGGGGCCGGCAGTTTCCAAGCCTCAATACAACACGGCCGAAGCGACCAATTCGGGTCTTGGGGATTCTTGATCGGCCAACTCGCCACTTGTTTCCTACGCTAACGACCCATGATACCCGCACTCTACAAGGTTCTCCCAGTTGTGACGTTGGATTGAGTTAGCAGCCATCCTATTGTTGCGTCACTATCGGACCTTCGAGGACCCCACTCCCACATGGCAAGGCTTGTACATATATAAGACGAGAGACCGGCATGGCGGGGAACGGCATCAAGCTACTGGTGTTCCTCAAAAGCCCTGGTATAGCTCACATACGGCAGAAGCTCATACTGTTTAATCGTAGTCTGCGCATTTCCTGAATAGTCTTTTTATCTACAATCAACATGGCACCATCAACCACCAAGGCATGGACCGTCCAAGGAAAGGACGGCTTCGAGTCTCTCAAGTTCAACGAGCAGGCCAAGGTACCTGAGATTGGCGACAAAGATGTCCTCGTCAAGAGTGTGTAATACGAGCAATTGGACTTTGTAACAACGCTAATCATGCAATAGTCCATGCCGCGTCTCTCAACTATCGTGATCTCATCATCCCCAAGGGCAAATACCCCTTTCCCATGAAGGACAACATTGTCCCCGGCTCAGATGGTGCTGGTACCGTAGAAGCTGTTGGCAAGCACGTCACACGCTTCCAGCCTGGAGGTATGTACAGATCACGTCAAAGCCGCGTTGCTTAACCCAAGATACTAACATTTGCACAGACAAGGTGGTCACTCTTTTCAACCAGGGCCATATCGCCGGCTCTCTTGATGGAAAATCCCTCGGTACCGGTCTCGGAGGCGCCCTAGACGGTACTCTGCGCGAACACGCCGTCTTCGACGAGGCAGGCCTCGTCAAGGCCCCCTCCAACCTCAACATGCTCGAAGCCTCGACCCTATCCTGCGCAGCCCTCACAGCCTGGAACGCCCTCTACGGCCTCGAATCCCGCGCCCTTAAGCCCGGCGACACAGTCCTCACCCAGGGCACCGGCGGCGTCAGCATCTTCGCCCTGCAATTCGCAAAGGCAGCCGGCGCAAAAGTCATTGCTACCACCAGTTCCGCCAGCAAGGCCGACCTCCTCAAGAAGTACGGCGCAGACCACATCATCAACTACAAGGAGACGCCAAACTGGGGCGAGGAAGCCGCAAAGCTTACTCCTGGTGGTGCAGGTGTCCAGCACGTAGTCGAAGTCGGTGGCCCAACCACCATGGCGCAGTCGCTCAAGGCCGTTGCCATTGACGGCGTCATCACCATTATTGGCTTCATCGGTGGCGGTGGAAAGGACCAGCCTACATTCCTCGACTGCCTGAACAACATTTGCACCGTCCGCGGTATCCTCGTCGGCTCACGGCTGCAAATGGAAGACATGTGCCGCGCCATTGAGGCAAACGACATTCACCCCATCGTCGATGAGAAGGTGTTTGAGCTCAAGGATCTCAAGGAAGCGTACCAGTACATGTGGGACCAGAAGCACTTTGGTAAGCTTACTGTCAAGGTTGCTGCGTAGAAAATATATATGTAAATCAACTGCACACAAAGTGGGGCCATGTATGTGTATTTAGGCCTCGGATGAAAATAGTTTAGCCGTTTCAAGCAATGCATTTCATTTCCATGTGAACCGCTATACTGAGTGGGTTGAGCGAGACTCAACTATGCAATCTCTCCTCAAGACTTTGTCCTAACCATTTGTACAAGAAGAAGCAGAAAAAAGCAAACGCAAAAAAGTTCTATACTACATGAATGCTTGGACCCCTTTGTTTAGAATTTCCAATCGAGCCTACTACATGCCCATTGGATATTCAAGAAGAGAGGCCGCGTTAGAGAGAAAAAGTTGGAGAAAGCCTCTGTCGGCCGTGGGTATCGTGTGTATGTGTCGGTGGGTATCAATTCGTTCCGTGTCGCCTTCTCGTAAATAAAACGACCGAAACACCGTCGCTATGCGCCATGTTGATGCAAGAATTTTTTCCTGCCGTGCTCCCAAACCATGCAATGCTATGCAATGTGAAAAATGAAATTCGTTTCTGTCCGACCAAGCCGTGCCATCGTCTTCAGTCCAGCTCTGTTGTCGGACGTCCGGCGAGCAGAGTAGCTGCGATGCGCTTGCGTGCGTCGTCCATACCGTTAGTGGCGAGCACGAGCTTTGTATCGTCACCGCGGAGGAGTGTTAGAGCATTCAGAAGAGTGAAGACGCCGCAGTCACTGCTGTTCAGTTGCTGACTGCTGCGCTGAATCGTGCCCTTGGACCACTCGTCGGCGATGTACAAGTCACCAAGCTCCTTCTGCAGATATTCATCGAGCTTATCAATGTACTTCTGACCGCTGAGACTCATCGAGTCGAGGTATTCGATGGAGCGTTTCTGAGGATAAACAGCCAGTAGACGCCAATGTCCCCGGTCGCAGATGGGATAGAGGATAAGTTTTGCATCCAGATACTGCTTGCCTTTGAGCTGGAACCGGTTGGACCAACGCGATGTGTCCGCAGTGCTGTACCAAAATGATGAGAATGCATGGACAGGAGGAGCCGGTCCGCCGCGCTTGTGTTCGAAACCTGCCTCCTTCTTCTTGGCAGCTACCAGAATCGAGAGATATTCGTTGACAATGTTGTCATTCAACCAAGCCCTAGGATCGCCATTGAAAAGTTGAGGCAGCAGTGTCGCAAAATCTCGGGCATAGAGCTTCTGGTCGATGACCCATTTGTCGGCCTTGAGTCCGTTGCTGGTATTTGCCGCAGCGGTGTACAGGGTCTTCATTTCTTCGGGAGATAAGGGCGTGATCAGTGGTTTGGGTGGTGGGGGCGGTGGTGGCGCCAATGCGAGCTTGGTCTTGAAATCATTGTGAAGATCTTGGGCAAGTTCCAGGGATAGTGCCGATTCCTCAAGCGAGTCATCAGAAGTGTCAAAGGTGTCCGAAGGGACGCCATGGAAACCACCATCATTGGCATGAGGATCGATTGCTGCAGCCTTGGGACTATCGGTCGCTGAAGACTGAGGCGAAGATGGGGCCGTATCAGATGTGGCCTGTTGGTTGTACTGGAAGTTGTGCCAGACTCCCCGTACGGGACTGGAGTTGATAATCTCTAGCGTAGAATCAAGCATATCGCTGACCTTTTCGTCACAATAGAAAGACTTTGTCCCTGCATGCTTTGCCCACCGCACGGATGGTCTAGGTGGTGCGTCAACAAGAAATGATAGGTCGTTAGTGTATTCGAATTCGGGACTAGCGGGTTGGATGTTGGGTTGGTTAGGCGATGCGTCGATTTTAGATTGGGCCTCCACTTGCTGCGGTGATGACGAAGCATCCGGCAAATAAGAGAGGTCCTGATCAACAGCCGGGGTGGGGGTGATTTTAGTTGGCTCGGACTCGGCAAAACCTTGATCCGTAGATCTTATTGAAGGTTCCGTTTGTCGAGTGGCTTGAAGACGTCTGTGTTCTGCGCCAAACTGTAGCTTGACTAGTTGACGGCGCAGAGGTGTGACAGAGGGAAGTTTGGTTGCGCAGGGTCCGGTGCGCTGTGGGTTCTGAGCTGTTTCCACATGTCTCTTGAAGAGGGACGGGGCTGGTTTCTGGGAGACCGGGCGGGCTGACAATTGCAACTGTGGAAGGCCGCGTGATGACGAGGATGATAACACAGGCTGCTTAGGCTGAATGGGAGAGATGCGGCTAGTGGGCAAACGAGTCCGCGGGCTATTCCACGCTACATGCACGGGTGAGCCTGTTTGCGCATTGCGAGGTGGAGTTGACGTGAGTATGTCGTCAAAAGAGAAATCTATGCTGATATCGCCATCTTCTTCGTCATTGATTTCGAGGGGTTCGGGTTCGGGTTCGTGGCCAAATGCGTGTGCCTCAAAGCCTGAGCTAATGTGCGCGTCTTGCGCTTGTAACGTAGACTGAATGGGTGCGGCCGGTTCGCGATATTCTTCAGGACTGGCTGTATGATTCCGGAATTCTGGCTGTGCGAGAGATGCATGCTTTTGACGTTGGTTCTGGCGACGCGCCTGATTCGCGCGCACGCGTTCTGAAGGTGATGGCGCCGCAGTTGCATCATTTCCATACCCGGCAGCGACGAAGCGTCTCTTGTTGGAGCCAGAAGAGCTGACGACGGAGATTGCCTTGATTTTTTGCTGGTACAGAAACCGGTTTGCGATACGCCTTGGTAGATTCAGAAGGTTTGCGACATTCACTGTTGCTACGAGTTTCCCGATGATTGTGAGGACAGAGATTGGCGCGGGTTCGGGCGCGACTTCTTCGGTGATCGAAAGTTCTTCGGGCCAAGCACCGGGTATGCGGAAGGAGGAAGTTGAAGGGGTCATTGCCTGTTGCGCCTGCTATTACTGTGAATGACGGATCGCGCACAGCTGCAGTGACGACTTACATGCGGCTGGGAAGTGTTGAAGCCATCAGCAGACTGCGGCGCGTCTGCAGGATTGCTGGAGAGGAAAGCGCTATATGGGCGCTTGTTGGGCATTGTCGCTGTTGCTGATCGCGTTGGGAGGCGACGATGTGCAACGGTGACACTGGAGTGGTAGAGTGGAGAAAGGACGAGGTCGCGGATGCTGGGCAGAGCTGGCCGGCAGTAGCGCGAACTATAGTTCGCGCTAGTGATAATCACGTGACATGCTGTCGAATCAATCGGGCCCTGGAGAAACCATGTTCCAGCGCCGCCCGCCTTGCGTGGATGGAGTGCGTGCGTAGAGTTGATTCACCCTGTATTCCTGTGTACAAACCCTGCTGCCACGCCTGCTATTTGCCTGCACACCCCACAAACCCCTTGGACTCCCTTTCCCACACCCTACCAGTCTACACGCCCTATCGCCCGCACTCGCATCTGCCGCACGTCATTGGTCGAGTTTGGAAGGGAAGAACCCCTCGACAGCTCTACACCACAACACCCGACCACCCCACCTACACCAAACCCGCCGCCCCGCAATCATGGATACCAACATGGAAGACGTCAAGATGCCCGAGCCCATGCAGCTGTCGTCTGCCCCCACGTCTGAGCCGACCACAATTCCCACCCTCGATGGCTGGATTGAGAGCCTTATGAGCTGCAAGCAGCTGGCAGAGAGCGACGTGCAGAGACTATGCGACAAGGTATGCGCTGCTCGCTCGCGCTGAAAAATTGCAAAGATTGCGTCTTCTGACATCGGTTGTGCCACAGGCCCGCGAAGTACTCCAGGATGAGTCGAACGTGCAGCCAGTGGTAGGTTCCATTCTCTGCTGCCACCCCCTATATACTCACCATTGCACAGAAATGTCCCGTCACAGTATGCGGTGACATACACGGCCAGTTTCATGACCTGATGGAACTTTTCAAGATTGGTGGCCCCAACCCAGATACAAACTATCTCTTCATGGGTGGGTCCCCTGCCTCACACGCACTGGCTGTATGCTGATTTACCCAGGCGACTACGTCGACCGTGGCTACTTTTCCGTTGAGACTGTGACTCTCTTGGTCGCACTCAAGATTCGGTACCCCCAGCGTATCACCATCCTCCGTGGTAACCACGAATCTCGTCAAATCACCCAAGTATACGGCTTCTACGACGAGTGCCTCCGCAAGTACGGCAACGCCAATGTTTGGAAATACTTTACAGACTTGTTTGACTACCTGCCCCTCACCGCCTTGATCGATAACCAGATCTTCTGTCTCCATGGCGGTCTCTCCCCCAGTATCGACACGCTCGACAACATCAGGGCGCTTGACCGTATACAAGAAGTGCCTCACGAGGGCCCAATGTGCGATTTGCTTTGGTCCGACCCAGACGACAGGTGCGGCTGGGGAATATCACCTCGTGGTGCCGGATACACTTTTGGACAGGACATCTCGGAGGCATTCAATCACAACAACGGCTTGACGCTCGTGGCACGTGCTCATCAGCTTGTCATGGAGGGATACAACTGGTCGCAAGATAGGAACGTTGTGACTATATTCTCAGGTATGACGTTCTGTTCCAGCTTGGTGGCTTCAACGGCTAACATGTGACAGCACCAAACTACTGTTACAGATGCGGTAACCAGGCCGCAATCATGGAGATTGACGAGCACCTGAAGTACACCTTGTAAGTGTCTGTTGGTTCATCATACACTACAACTCTCTAACTCCTACTCTAGCTTGCAGTTCGATCCTTGCCCACGAGCGGGCGAGCCCATGGTATCACGAAGGACTCCAGACTACTTCCTCTAAACGAACCCATATGGGGCTCTTGCCTGCAAATCTGAAGACGGTCGCACTTGGACATGATCCTCAAATACACTGTGTACGACTGCGTTTCTGTTGACAAAAGCTGTCCCTGGTTCCGAGGCAAGTGCATGACATCACAATGTCCTGTCTGCGATAGGACTATGCGGTGCCTACGGGGAAGCTGAAGCAGCCACGCTCGAGTCGCCTGGAGTGCCCGCCGTACAATACCTTTAGTTATGCCCTTATCGGTGCAGAGCTAACCAATAATGAAACCTGATTGCGCTTCCTACATCTATCGATTGCATTTGGTTGTCGTTGTTTTTGTTTTTCTGCCTTGTCAGCTTCAATTGGTCCTTCTTTGTCGATGCTTCGTGATTGTTCGATTCCACTCCCTGTATACAATGGCAGTATTGGCCTTTAAAAGCAGGAGCTGTGCACTAAGAGGTGAACCAGAAGGGCCGATATTAACCCATACTTGCAAACGTACCGACGATTCAGCGCAGTTGTAATCGCGGAATATAGCCGGCGAACAACGGGGACGAGTGTCATGCATAGACCAAGTGCTGACATGTGAGATAACCGATCTGGCGGGATAGATGACGCAAGATGCTAAAGTTCGCCTGGAAATGCCGTAATCAACCTTACAGCTGTCATCTGAAGTATACGCTGTCTCACTTGATATCGCCCTTGCCGTCAACAACGCCCTTCTTTTTTTCTCGGCCCCACGCAGTCATGCATCCTAAGCCAAGCCGGCTTCGTCGTGTTTGGCCATGGTAACGGATGCACGTGCTGACCCAAAACGTTCGCTTGTAGATGCCTCCTGAGCGAAAACTCCAGTCTGGTCTGGGACAGCACGGCAATGCAATCCACAATTATTGTCGTGTAAATGTATGCGCCTAAACGGTACGCATTTTTGCTTACAAATGGAAGATACAGCATCTCCAATCTGAACTTTCAAGTAAACCAATGCCACAAGTTCTTCCTTGAAGGTACTACTGAAGCAGGTCTCACTCGAATCTACTACAATCCATCCGCACGAGCCAGCACCTCCTTTCCGATTCAATACCTCCTCGTACCTAGGAGAAACATGTTCAAATAAATATTTCCTCAACAAAACCCTCCTTCCCTCGGCCGAACCCGTCCGTTTTACAAGCCTTGGTGGGACCCTCCCAAGCCCTTGTCGCCGCGCGTGGTAATGCAGTTACGGTTTCCAAACGTGCAAGCTACCCGCTTGGCTCCCCACTTATCCTCAAACGGTCCATCATATGCCGTGGAAGCATTCCGATATACCCCTAACGAGCCCAATCGAAAGAGCAGAGGGTAGCAGGTAAAAAAACAATTAATAATGACTGCTTCCTTGAACTTGGCGAGTGTTCGTTTGGGTGTAGGTGTAACGGTTATGTCGGCTTGGGTACCCACACGAGTGAGTCTGATAGGGTGGTTAGGCTCAACTTGGAGACCTACCCTCAGGCCACTTTTTTCCTTTGCGTGTTTGAGATGCGGGTTTGGCAGGAGGTGAAGGATGGAGATTCGTGTGTGTGTGTGTGGAAACGAGTGGTTGCGCGGCTGATTCAGGCGGATTGTGGACGAAAGAGAAATGGGGTGGAGGGGGCGGAATGAAGATGGAGGTTGGTGTATGTACGTACCTATATCAGGCAGATATTTCTTGTGAGCCTCGTTTTTGTTGTTGTCTCTCTTTGTTGCCAGTCTTCTTCTCACCTTTTTTTTCGCTTCGCATCACTCTTTTCTTCTTCTTCTTTGACCTGCGCTAGTCGTAGAAACGGTCGTTATATAATACCTTACACTTTTTTTTTTACTATCTCTCTTGTCTGATTTGAGGAATAACCGTTGAACGGTTTCTTTGCGGTCCGATTTTGATACCCTCGATACCCATATTTGTCAAGCATCCAGACTTTATTTGAGTATTCAATTCAAGATGAAGGGCTTCGTCTTGTCTCTTGTCTTTGCTGCCACAGCGGCTGCACTTCCTGGTGCATCTTTCAAGACGGCTGGCAAACTGCCTGCTATCAAGAGTAAGTCTTCATGCTTTCCTATTCCAATTGAGATCCACACTTCCTAACACTCCACCAGGAAACCCTCTCCGTCGCGCCAGCCAAATCATTCCCGTCGTTGTTGGCGGCCCCCAAGACACATTTGTCCCCAACTCCATCACTGCCGCCGTAGGCGACATTGTGCAATTCCAATTCTCAAACGGTAACCACACTGTCACGCAGTCCACCGCCGACACAGCATGCACTCCCATGGATGGAGGCGTGCACAGCGGCCACATTCCCTTTCAAGACGGCCAGACCGAAGTCGGCACTTTCAACATGCCCATTACGAGCACTGAGCCCATGTTCTTGTACTGTGCGACGGGCCCGCACTGCCAGCTCGGTCAGGTCATGATGATCAACCCGGCGAATGCGACGCAGTTGGCCGAGTATACAAAGAAGAGCCAACAGAGCGCTGCTAGTGTTGATGGTACGAACGTTGTGGGTGGAACGCCTGGCAAGTTGGCTTTGGAGGCTGCTGCGTAAGTATTACATTAACCCCCTCATAGCATTTCTCTTGAGCTTGAACTGATCTTTTTTTTTCACAGATTTGTACCTGCTCCCCCTGAGGATGCGGGCGCTGGTGGCCCACCTCCTGCTGGGACACCACCCGCTGCTGAAGCACCACCCGCTGCTGAAGCACCCCCTGCCGCTGAAGCACCTGCCGCTGAAGCTCCCGCTGCATCTCCCACTGCATCTGCCGCTCCAGAAGCACCCGCCGAGGCACCTGCAGCAGAAACTTCCGCAGCAGCAGCCCCAGCCACAATAGTCGTTCACCCCGCCAAAAGGGGCTTTCAAGGTCGCATGAACTAAGTATCTGAAAGGAGAAAGGTACAATGGGGGACAGCAAACTTGGAATGCGGAAGTGGGGATAAGCTTGTAGACAAGCTGGGGGTTGAGAATTTCAGTATACATATATATATTTGTGCGAGAAATAGGGAAGATTCGACGATATCCAACTTTTCTTCTTTCCATTAGTCCTCGTTTGAGATGTACGATGACAAAAACTGATTATGTGAATGTGTTGCAACACATTCCTCGCAGGTATCGTGGGAAATAAATCAGGTTGGTAATCAACAAGGAATAAAAAGGGGGCAGTAGGTTTTGCAGAAAGGATGATGATGATATGCCGTGCGTGCCAATTACACATACTCTTCAGCAATAATAACAACAAGTCGTTTAGTACTACACAACTCGTAACACGGAATCGTCTACTCTAGCAACAACACCCCAGAACCAACCGTTCGAGAATGAAAAAAAAGGTCTAATCATCTTTCCCATCAGCCTTCTTCTTCTGCTCGACCTCTTCCTCTTCATCATCCTCATCTTCGTCAGTCTCTTCGCTAGATCCATTCTTCTCTCCGTCATCTTTGGTCCTAATTGCAATGTCCACCTCCCGTTTCTCGGTCGGCGGCACGGGGCTCTTTGCAGCAGCCCTTTCATCCTTACTTGGCCTGGGTCGTGCTGGCTTGCCCGCCTCTTCGGGGAACAGCTCAGCGAAGAAGTTCGGCTGGAAGCGATTGATGCGTTTCCAAGTCTCATGCCAAAGTTCCTCGCGGTCTGGGTTTTCGTCAGGCGGGGCAAGGTAGCCCCCGCTGCTCAGGACAAGGAGCATGTTCTTGAGGTTCTCGGCTACGGCTTCTTCCATGTCGCCTTGGCCGCTGTTCCCAAGGCGGTCCATGATACTGACAATGGTGATCCAAAGTTCCTCGAACATACCTTTTTCTCCTTTCTCGCCTAGGCCGTCTAGGAGGACTAGGTAGTGCAGGAAGACTTTGCTGAGGAGGGTGGCTGCGCGGACTCGCGTTTCGCTCATACCGAGGGGATCGGATTGGTACACTTCTGGTTTGAGGAGTTGAGTGATGAGTGGGATGAGCACTTCGCTGAAGATGGAAGTCCATTCCTTGTGGTCAGGAGAGGCAAGATCAGCGGATAGGAGAGTGCGCTGGAGTGAGACAAAAGCTTGTTGACGGATGGAACGGCAAGGGTTCAGACATTGGTGCGCAAGCGTCTTCAGAATAGGAGACCAATACGCTGTCCATGCTGCGAGATCGTTAGCATCCGTATGTATGAACCTCAATCAATCAATTTACCTTTGGTAGTCTCGAGATGGGATTGCTCGATAAAGTTCGGTACCCGACTGGACAACTGGAAGACGATGCTCATAGCAGTACTGCCTCGTACGACAATCTCACTGTTCTCCGGCTTTTTGGGCTTCTGTCCTTTGTTGCGCCGCACCGCTTGGTCATACAGCTGCTCCTCCCGTGCACCCACTTGAGCAGCGGTTGCAAACTCATTGAGAAGCGCAATTGCAGCCTCATAGTTGTCTGCAGTAATGCCTGGCTGTGGCGAGGTAGCTAGGTCCTCCACAAGTAAAAAGACATCTCCAGCGGCATCAGGCACATTAGCTAATCTGTTGAGAATGGTCCAGAAGTCTGGTGAGCCTGCAAGCTCACTGCGGAGCGCATTGGGCCCCTTGCAGCAATCGCTCAAACCCTTCAGGATCGGTTGTGCGCACTCCTGCAGCAGTGAATCGTTGAAACTCGAGAAAGTGTGCATAAGAACCGGTGCGCGAATGAAGTCGTAGTCCTAATCATGTTAGAAGAATCAAAACATCTTGCGTATTGATACTCACATTGCTAGCCTTGAGCAGGCTCAGGAGGTAGTATGCCGACCGGGCGACTACCACATAATGATGCTTAGTGGCATCTCGAATGACCGACGCCAGCGCATCGATCACATCCTTTGCCAGGTCTCTGACAGTCTCTTCGTCACGTAGGGCCAATACAGTGGCCAGCTCGAGAACAAAGACTAAGCTGGGGTCATAAAGGGGACCCTTGCCTTTCTGCCGAGGACCAGGTGTCCGTGGACTTGCACCTGGAATTTCAGGCTTCACCACAATGACTGTTGGCGACCCATCTTCGGGTAGGTGCCGAAGTAATGAATCAAGTAGCGACCTGAGAGAATCTACGGGCAGCTGACTAATATTCGCGAGGATGTCTTCGAAATGGCACTCCTTCACCGTGTCTACAGTGCAAAGTGTGTACTCTATTTCCTGGTCCGATGGCTCTGGTGGCTCATCATTAGCGAAGCTGGAAACATAAGATGTCAAAGCTGAGAATATTCCAGTATCAGCGGGACGCTCAGCACGGTCAATGACTTGGGCTGGGTTCTGGAGGGGTATTGGTGCCAAAGCAAGGGTTTTCTGGAAGGAGAGGAAGTAAGGTGGTATCAGCGAGTTGACGAAGAGGTTGACCATGATACGAATAAGCTGTCAATGTTAGCGACACCCTGAGTACACAAATAGGAGACTTACGTGTTCCCATCCGCCTCTTATCGATGCTTCATTGCCTTTGATGACCTGGAACAGCACGACGGTTGCTAATTGCGCTCGGGCATCGCGGCCAAAACGGACAGCAGTCTCGCTGACCATGACGCTCTTCTTGTCGGCCTGAACCTCCGTGTTCAATGAAGTGCTCGGGGGCACATCAGGCGCTAATGTGCTTATGTACGAAAGGCACGAGATGATGCGGTCCAAAGCGTCAGTAAGTCTGTATTTCGCTGCAATTTGAGCACATTGGTCGAAGCCTTGTACAACGCGTGAGAAGACAGCGTCGTCGGTAGCGGACATGAAGACATATGCCAGTGTTGCTACAATAGGTTTCCAAGTAGCAGCAAACATGTCTGCATCGAAAATGTTGGTTTCACAGATGACAATATCTGATGTTGACTGGCACTTGACAAGTAGCTCTTTCCACGCATGCTCGTAGGCGTTTCGGTCGCTGTGCTCCTCAGGCAGGATGATTTCACGGTTCTTGATAGACTCGTAGATTTTCTCCAAGAATTCTGCGTCAAAGTCCTTTCCATCATTGACACCCCGTACGTTCCTCCTGAAGTCTTCCAGTTGCATTCGCTTTTGTTTCATGTTGGGATTATGCTGATCGGTGTTCAACATGATAACTGCGTATGTGAGAATGTAGATAGCGTCGCCGTTGACAATGCCTTCAGGCTTTGCCATTTTGAAGTATTTTTCAGAGAACTCGGTGAGGATTCTTTCAATCAATGCAGATTCTCCAGGAAGACGGAAAGCATGTAGCAGTTGGCGGAGCGCTTCATCGATGCGTTGCCCAGTGAAGTCGAATAAGTCGATAAAGGCGCTAAGTACCGCTTCATTTCCTTTTTTCGAGATAAACTCTCCGAGAACTTTTTTATCAACTCTCGTTGTGCCTTTGACGAACTCAGCGATGCATTTGGGATCATCAGGGTCGGATATAACGCCTTGTGACGCTAGGTACGCGATACCAGCCTTGGGCTTCTCATTGAATTTGGTTGCACCCTTAATGATGACGGCCTTGCGTGCTCGTTGCTCACGAAGCGATTCGACACTGGGGTAACCTTCCGTCACTGGTTCATCGTCCAAACGATCTGCCATGGATTGCACAAAGCCGAGGAGGGCATCCAAGCAGAGAGGAGGTACATTGACAGTACTCCAGGTTGCGGAGTCTGGGAAGGCGTTTCGCGAGAGAAGTCCCACAATGTCCATACAGACATCTCCACGGTCAATCTCGCAGTCATAGTTGACAAACAGCTCTGCCATGTATGACGATATCCGAACTAAGCCACCCAGGTTCTCCACCATGGCTTCCCGAGCATCGGGTTTTCGGACACCCCCCTCCAAACCTAGCTTTTGTCGATCTTTAACAGGTACTGGGGTCGAACGGCCACTGGAGCTGTTTTGTTGCGGCGGTTGCTTTATGAGACTCGGCGCCTGTGGGACACCTTCGTATAATGAAGGCTCAATACCAGGCTCCACTGGTATCTCCACCCTTGGAAAGAGGCACGCCACTAGGTAAGAGAGGTAAAGCTCTTGTTGCAGCTTGAGCACATTCCTACATGTTGCCAACAAGGTGCCAGCGACTCGCAATGACTCGTTCAGAATCGCCATGTTGTCCGACCTGACCAGTTGGAAAATGTGCCGACACAAGGTATCCTTGGCCAAGTTTGCAAGACTAGGATGACTTGCGATTGAGGGCCCGGCAACTTCGAGTGCGACATCGACAATACGCAACGCCATGACACGCATGGTATCGGTATGCTGTCGGTCGTGCGGGTCCAGTAGATCGACCAGTACTCGAAACAGTTCTCTTATAGACGGCAACGAGTATGGCTTGATCTCGACAGCGGACTTAGGCTTCCCGTCTGCAGCTGTCGCAGGAAGATCCAGAGTACTACTCGCTGGATTTGCGGTACTTTCGTTATCTTCCTGACCCTTGTCAGGGTCGCTCGAAAGCTGTAGTGCTTCAACCTTGTGCTGTGCAGCATCGCCTCCGCCGTCCGCTGTTGGGTCCATCCGTAGGCCGTCCTGCTCGTCTTTACCTTCGAGCTCTTCGTCCATGGCCTGCAGTTCATCTGGCGACTCAACCTCGAGAGTCTTCAATCTCCTGAATATAACCTGACACATGGAAACCATGGCCACCTCGGCGGATCGTCGCAGCACCTCGGAGAGTCGTGCCTGACAGCACATGCTCAAGCCCGTTTCCATCATCTCGCATACGCTCTCGTCGCCGAGTACCTCTCCTCCGCGGCCCGATATCATAACTTCCATCAACCTGAGGATGCGGAGCAAGACGATTTCGTCCGCTGCAGAGTCGGTGGCTTCGAAACGGCAGTGTGTAATGGCAGAAGAGAGCTGCTGCATAGCTTCTGGTAGGCGTGGAGAATCGTGGTCAATGATGCCATACGACAGAAACTTGGTAATGGCAATCAGGGCGAGTGAGGTAATGGGCGCAGAGGTTGAGGATGAGCGGATAACTTGTAGGAAGGGGTGAAGCATAGAGGGCGTATCGAATGCCCGGATATCTGGTGTGGTAGCATTAGCATAGCTCTGGAATGGAACCCATTGCGGATGATTTTCCCTACTTTTACAGCCCTTGAGATCATTCCTTAGGCGCGCAAATGCAGACATGAGGGGATTGTCTTGCATGCTCTTGCCCTTCTTCCCCCGCAATCCCCATCTACTCGGAACAGCCTCCTCTTGCTCTCCTGCACTCACAATGCCCTGTCCTGTTCGATCGCGCCGCTGTACGGTTGGGGCCTTGTTGGAAGAGCTCCCCAATATCGCTGCGACCGACGAATGCGCCCAGCGGGCATGCTTTCGCATCGCCGACGTGACGGTGATACATTCTGTCACGACGAGAGCTACTGGGTTGACTGCGACAGTGATGGGGCGGGGGTCCAGGCTTGCGACCGTCTCTTGGAGGGTTGACGCGCCATTGTCGTCGCCGTCGATGCTCGACATGGTGCCGGAAAGCTGGTGTGTAGTTGCGTAAGTGGTGGGGAAAGTATTGCGCACGACACGGTGTCGTTATACTGGCGGGCACATGGACAACTATATGCTATGTTCAGTCGATTGGGAAGATGACACGCATTCTCCCAACTCTTTGCGGTTGCCTGGAAAAAGGTAGACGTAATCCAAGCCTCTCGAGTGCAATTAGGAATCGTCTACTGACAATGTGTCCGTGAGTACTAGGCAACTGGCAAATGATCTCTTTGGTGATCTGGCGGATTAGCTCTAGTACACAGCGGAGTTTCGGAGGTGCTGAGACGCAACGCTGATCGTGCCAGGGTCCTAATCAAACATCCTACGTAGGGCCAAGCACCACCCGAACAAACATCAGTTGGAAACTCCACATGACCGACTCAAGATGGTGTCAAATATTATTACAGATGAATCTGCTGCTAATTCTACTGCTGAATTCCCCCAGCGCCCTGTGATGCAATAATTGCTGTCTAATGTATGCAACCCTTCAAACTGGTTGTCTAACGCCCGCCACGAGAGAAAGCGACAAGTTCTGATTCCTACAAGCAAATCCAGCTCAACGTTGACATACTACATGCTGGTGTTATTGGGTTCCAGTCAAAGCATGCAGTGAGTTGAGAGAAACCAACGCTCCAGATGCGCGCTCCCAGTCTACCCAAGTCGTTACTGTCGTTGCCGTGCTCGCGCATCCCCACTGCACGCACGAAGCTGCATTAGTAAAAAGAAGTTCAAGTTTTGTAGCCCCTCACATTATTCATGTACTGTAGGTGCTACGACTTGTCCTCCTTCTTCTCGGCTGGCTTCTCTTCTTTGGCTTCTTCCTTCTTTTTCCCCTCTGGCTGCTTGTCCTTCTGCTCCCCTTCCTTAGCCTCGCTCTTTGCCTTTTGAATCAGCTCCTGAACTGCGGCCTTCTCCTTCTCCCAATCGCCCTTCTTTTCATCAAAAGACTCTTTAATTTTGGCTTCCTTAGCTTTCTTGGCCTCTTCTTCCGCCTCCTTCGCCTTGCGTTCCTTTTCCATTTCCTCCATATGCCGAATATCGTCGACGCTAGGCTCGTAAAGATGCCAAATGGTATAGTGAGGCAGACCGACAACTGAAAACTTCATGCGCTTGGCCATCTACAGTATATTAGCTTTGTGGCACGGGAAGAGGTCGAATGTCTTACCTTGCCGAATCCTTCAGTCTCGGCGTGCTTCTCAAAACTGAATGCGGGAAAGTGGCAACCGGCGCGGAAGACCTTGGCTTTTGCAAGAATACTGACACCACCGACACCATCAATTTCCATTTCCATATCCGGGTCACCATAGGGGTCGCGAAGGTATGCCAGATGCGGGCGCCAGGTCGCGTACTCTGCATAACCTTCTACAATGACGGCGTCTTCGTCGAGCGTATCCGCAAGAGCAAGCGCAGTTTCGGACTCTTGCCACGAGTTTAGATCGTATGGTTGTTCTCCGCCGAGCCAGTCTGGGAGCGGTCGCCAGACATCTGAACAGCATGTTAGCAATGAATACCTCTGCTATAAGGATTGAAACATACTGGGTACAATCACATCTTTGTTGTGGCGCATAAGATCCTCCAAGATGGTGAAGGGAGCAGTCTCCACGTCCACATCTCTCCAGTATACCCAGCTGTGTGTAGGCCGTAAAGCAGCACTCAAGAGCCAGTTGCGGGCTTGCGCCATTGACTTTCGACGGCTAGCCTGTGCAGCGAAACCGTGGCGACTCTCAACATCTTGGTTGACCTTTTGTCCAAAGTCCTTTTCCATGATTGAAATTTCTCCGAATTGTTGCTTTGGGTCTGGGTCGGCCTGCAGCTCCTTCAACTTTTCCGTCAGGAGTGAAATTGTGTTGTCCTTGGAATCTCCAACCAGGAATGCCAAGTCAATGAGGTTGTGTGGGTATGTGAGGTTCTTGAGGTGGCTGAAGAACATGGGCAGATGTGGGGATGCGTCTCGCAATGGAGCGCAGAGAAGTATCCGCTCCTCCCTCTCCCATCCCCTTGCGGTGCCCTGAACATTGTTCAGGTCGTAGTATCGTACCGTCTCGAGTTGCGAATCGTCGCTCGAAGTGATGAGGCTCAGGGGTCCAGAGCCCAAATTTGGTCGCAGGTTGGGAAAAAAGAAGAAGAGCGCTGTAAAGAAAAGCGAGCCCACAAGCAGCAGGCGCTGTATCAGCGTCCTTCGCCGTCTCAGGGCAGGCTGTGAACGCGGTTGGAATCTAGAGGCAAAATCAAAGTCAGGATGTTGTGTGGCCAAAGTCGTGGGGGTAAAGGAGGTATGATGCAGAGGTAGTGCGCTGGGGTTGCGCTGTGCATTGCGGTGTATGAACGTACTTGTGAGGCTGTATGGAAAAAGTACCGCCCCCTTGGGAGGGGTAAGCCCCGTTGGAAAACGCATGGCGATGCATTTTCCCTTTTGACGTTGAGTATGAAGGAAGCATTCGTGGAGGACGGGCGCCAGATAGTATGGATCGGTCCCGTTGAAACCCTGGTCAGCTAAGACCTCCTAGACTACACGGCTGCGCCACGGAACAATGATGCTCTGTTCTCCCCTATCCTGTCAGGGGAGAGGTGTAGTCGGCCGTAGTGATTGCGGCGAGAGGAGAGTGGGTTGTTGGATCAATCGAGGGCTCGCGCGTCTTTGGTATCCTCTGGTAGGTCTTGGCCGCGGATCAATCCGCCAAGGCCACGTTAAAGTTTAATTGTACTAATGTCGATGGTCGGCAGCAGCTGACAGTGATCGCACGAAACTATCAATTCGATGCGCGTGCCCGGCGAGATGCTAGACGTTTTGTTCGCTGCGTTTCGGACACTTTGCAACTGTTCGGGGGCGTGAAGCTAAGCCAAGCTGACTAGTAGTATGGCCGTTTCAGAGCAATGATACGCAGGCGTACGTATTCGCCGGAAATTCAGCGGAGAAGACACGGCATGACATTCTGCACAGCACCCTGCCTCACCATCCATGCAGCCCTGATTACGAGGCTGTCTGTCACACCTGTACTGTGGACTTAATTGCCGTAACCAGTGGAAACTTTATGGTTACAACCGGCGCGCTGACATTATGCCCTCGAAGGCGATTACACATGGCAGTCACAGCCGTGTCCCTAGTGAGCACATCACTAACACAAAGAGGAGCATCTAAATTTGGGCAAGTGTAAATCATAGGATTTGCAACTGTCTAACTGCATCTATTCAAGCTACCGACAGCCCCCCAAGCATGCCGCCATTCCACCCTCGGTGCTACTCGCGGACCGGACATGCGAAGCTGTGGATATCATTACAAAAAGTGATCTGAGCGCTGTTAGCAGTGCTCAAACTGTAATTTCGCAGAACTTTCAGAGTATGCAATATGCTCAGACAGCCGTGTTTAATCATCCCCTATCACCTGGCCTCTGGTTGCGGCCGCCCAAGACGGATTGCCACAACCTTCAGCACAAAGACCACAATTACGCAGCGCTAGACGAGCCAGCATTGCAACTCCACAACCCGTCATCCCAGCCGAAGCTGGTAGGGTGCGGGAGGGTGACCCGGCAACAGATGTCATTGAATGGATAGACTAGTTTTCTTCCTGGCGAAAGAAGAGAAAGGTGAAGTGCTTACCACTGGGGGAGTGCAAGATATAAGCTATGCTGTAGTCTGCTTGGAACGTCAGCAATGTCCGTTAAAAGCATTGATTCAACAAGATAGAAATCAAGTAATATCAGACAAAGGTAAGCGGTATATAACTTCCACATTGTAGTTCGGAAGCAGAACTGAAATAATACGTTCATCACGAAATGAGACTGAAGGAGCGCAGAGTTTGACTTACCAAATGTCAGTGCCTGGCCTTCCTGGCTACACCAGGTCAAGGCAGTGTGAATGCGCTCATGAGCATTGTCACAGTGTGTCTATGCAACCGACCTCTTGTGTTGAGCGGTGAAGACCTCCAGTGACGCATGCCGAAATAGCAGCTTGCGCTCAGCGAAAGCCTCGGAATCACACTGGCCCCATGCTCATACCCGGATGCGCAGACTTTGCTAGAAGAGTACGACAGCGGCAGCTCATCTGCATCGCCAGCATCTTATCGATATATCCATCTTAGCGGCCGGGCACCGTTACGATGTAATTGCTATCGCATCTAAATTGAGTCAGCCAAAGTCGCAAAGCCTGCCGTGAAACCAAAAGCTGATAGAGATGAGATCAGAGGGTGGTGCATGTGTTCAAAGCTCATTTGAGATCACAAGAACGTATTTCAAGGGTATCAATCATAGAAGATCGGGTAGAAGGGAAATGTGGTGGTAACGTACCTCGAATGCTGAAGTGTAGTAAGGAAAGAAAGTTGGCCTGGACGCGAAGGAAAATTGAGCTTGAGGAACGAACTCTTGGCGGATCTGCAGCTTAGTCATGCATAATTTGCGCGTCTACCGCCATGAGATCATCCACATTTCTAGTAGCACAAACATATTCTCCCCCACAATGGCTATGAATATTGACAGAAGGAGAAACAATGCGCCTAGCGGTGGAACAAGTGCTCCTGTGTTTGCGCGCACTATCAGGGAGCCGCAATATGTCGAAAAGTTGAGACCGACGAGATCAAGAGGTCCAAATGAGCTTCGCAGGATCTGTGAGTTGCTAGGTTTATTTATCGGCGCATCTATGAGCACCTTGTTCGCTCAATTTGGATGTTATTGCTTAGAATGAATTGTCGACAAGCTTTGCATAGCTCCAGGATGCGCTAGTTATCCGTATTCTATCTGCTAATACTCAAGTATAGTCCTCCAAACGTCCATCATACCCTCTGCGTCCGGCTCCGCTTACCTCGAGATACCGTCGTCTTCGGCTGCAAACACTCCTAGCCTCATCGCACCGACTTCATCGCTTAAGATAACGGCCTCAATACAGGGCCCAAAGCCCCTCCCCCGCAGCGCGCCCTTTAGTCCGTCGCTTCTCCTCACGACTACGGTCAAATTTGCACCGTTTGCAACACGGCATAGGCGGGGTTATCTACGCGACGCAACAGAACGTGACCTGGGCGTACATCTGGAGACAGCACTACGAGGCGTCATTATTGGCGAAAGATGGCCCAAGAGTGGCGTGGAAGTTGTGGTCACGATTCTTGAGGGCGATGAAGATGGCTGGTGGGGTGATTTGGCAAGCGGGGGAAGTGCGACAGGAAGTGGATGGGGTCTTTTGAATGTTTTGGCAGGCTGCATCACGGTTGCCAGTGCTGCGATAACAGACGCGGGGATTGATTGCGTGGATGTAGTATGTGGAGGTGTGGCCGCCATTGTGCGAAATCCGTCGTCAAAGAACGAGCAAGAGCTGGCCAGGATCCTGGACCCATGTCCTGCGGAGCACAAGGAAGTGGTTGCAGCATGCGTAGTGGGCTATTTGGCTTCGAGAGACGAGATCACGGAGATGTGGATGAAGGGAGATGTCGGTGGAGAACCCGATGCGCTCATTGAGGGAGCTACACACGCGGCTGTGGGCAGCCTCGCGGTAGTCAAGGAGGTATTGCTCGAGGCAGTTCAGGCCAAGTTCCAAAAGCAAACCGAGGGCGGCGAGAGCGGCGTGAAGAGAAAGGCGCAGGACGTGGACATGAGTGGATGACGGACGCCTGTGCGTGCTTGGTTGCCAGGTGTGTGAGCGGGCGCCAATAGACCCGTCCAGCAGTTAGCGGAAGCCCTTTTTGCATGAAACTGGATTCCAACGGCCCCAAACAGCCGATGGACAGGTTTCTCAAAGGTCAAGCGCATGGTGCGAACTAAGAAGCTGCACAAGCGTCCCACATGGAGCAATTGACCATTTGAGTGCCATGGCTAGCTCGACCAACAGCAAGGATCCGACGGCGGGGGGCCATGGATAGAACTGCGCGGGAATGTGAAATGTTGATGGAAGTGCACTGTTGTGCAGGCAGTGCCGTGGATTGTAGCCTGTAGCCACTGGTAAGCCGATGCACAAGAAAACGAGTGGCTGGGGATGCATGGAGAGTGGCGTCACAGTTACTCGGACTTGTTACTAGGGGCGCACGGCTGGCAGGATGCAAGATGCTGCCGACGGCATGCACATGGAAAAGCAAGATATGGTGGGGGACTTGAGCCGGGATAGCAAAGCTTCTTCGCGACCCACCCATTCCCATTCCTCCATGGACACTAGCACTAGTATGGCACTTGGACTTCGCACTGACACTGACATTGACACCACCACTGCTGATAATGCCAACGGCCGTGGGTCCTGAGGTCATCCCGCTCCTGCCTCGTCTGGTTGACTTGATTGCCAAGATTAGACCCCAATCGCGCCTTCCGGATATGCGGCGTGATGGATTGCTCCTGCCCGCCTCGCTTGTTTGTTGTTGTGGCCGTCGTGTTGATGATAGTGACAGTGAATTGCTTCGACTTTCATTCAGTCCAGCCCAACTCTCTCTTCTCTCCACCCACTTCCTTGGCTCTCCGTCATTTCACCCAGACTAACCGGTTCCCCACGCCCTCTTTTTCTCGTTCCCTCGAATCACAGCACGCTATCCGGCAGGTAATCCGTCTTAGCTGATCCTCTCCCGCCAAGAATACCTGCAACTAGCGTTGGTGCAATATCGATTGCGATACTGCCGCAAACCGGCTATCATAGCATTATAAGACTGGGTCGAGTCGCTGTCTAGTATCCGTCCTACAGGGCTTTGCATCTTTCGTTCCACCATCGTTGCTATTCGACAGTCGTTCGCTGATATGTCTTTTGTAAGTAGCTTGCATCAAGAGCATACCACTCGTATCTCCGCTAGTACCCGCATCGCTAATCACTCATGTGCTTAGCTTACTCGCGCGGCTGTAATCCTACCAGCCCTCTTCTCATATCTTGGCCATGCTGTCAATCCTGTCGAAGTTCGTGGCCGTGACTTCATCGACACTGTTACTGGCGAGCGCCTTATGATAATTGGTGTCGACTACCAGCCTGGAGGACAAGGCGCATATCAACCTTCCAACAAAGAGGATGCCCTTACCGATTCCGGAGTCTGTTTGCGAGATGCAGTCCTCATGCAAAGGCTTGGTGTGAACACACTTCGTGTCTACAATCTTGATCCTACCCTCGATCACTCCGAGTGTGCCTCTATCTTCAATGCTGCTGGCATTTACATGTTGCTCGACGTCAACTCTCCCTTGCCAGGCGAAAGTATCAACCGCGCCGAACCATGGACAAGCTACAACAGTGACTATCTTAACCGCGCCTTTGGAATCATTGAGAACTTCAAGAACTTCCCAAACACACTTGGCTTCTTCTCTGCCAACGAAGTCATGAATGATCTGTCTACTGCTGAGTTCAATCCGCAGTACATCCGTGTAAGTCTTGGTGTTTTCCACATGTCTTGCGTTTGATTGACTGACACAAATTAGGCGGTTCAACGTGACATGAAAAACTACATCAAAAACCATGTCAACCGGACTATATCTGTCGGTTATTCCGCTGCCGATGTCCGCGAGATTTTGCAAGATACCTGGGCTTACATGCAATGCGTTCATGACGAGGATGAGTCTTCGTCTGACTTTTTTGGTCTCAACTCTTACAGCTGGTGCAATGGCGATAACATCCAAACCTCTGGCTACGACACCTTGGCCAACATGTTTGCTAATTCGGCCATTCCTGTTTTTGTAAGTCTCATGCTCAATACAATGTTTGCAACTATGAGAAAATTCTAACCATCGTACAGTTCAGCGAATACGGTTGCAATCGTGTAACCCCTCGTGACTTTGATGAGGTACAGGCTCTTTACGGTGAACAGATGAGGGCACTCTCTGGTGGCCTCGTATATGAGTACTCCGCAGAAGAGGCAGGCTATGGACTTGTCGAGATCGAACAAGACGGTTCAGTCAAACTGATGCAAGATTTCGATAATCTCCAAAGACAATTCAACAAGCTCGACATCAAAGCGCTCGAATCAGCGAGTCCTCAGTCCACCGATGTCAAGGCCCCAGAGTGTAGCGACAGCCTCATAACCGCAAACGAATTTAGCAAGAACTTTACGATTCCGGCCGTCTGCCCAGGGTGCCAGGATCTCATCAGCAACGGTATTGAGAACCCTCAGAACGGAAGACTGGTCAATGTCGACGAGACAAATGTCCAGCAGAAGGTCTATGGTAGCGGTGGCCAGCAGGTCCAGAATCTCAAGCTCAACATTGTCTCGGATGGAGCAAACCAACCGAACGGCGAGAACACCAGCCCAAGCTCTACCGGCGGGGACAATAATAATAACAACCAACCCAGTCAAACTGGTAACGGGGCACGGCCCACTGAGACAGGAACAGGGGTAGTTGTGCACCCTAGGGGCAGTAGTATGCTGGCTCTTGTCTCTTTTGTTATTTGCGCCCTGTGCTTGTAATTTTGGCATATTTATGATTTCTATGAAGTGAAGGCTTTTCTTTATTCAGTTAATGTTTTGCATAATGGGCGGGCATACGAATTCTGATGACATGAGGACCAGGCGACGGCTCTGAGATGAGTACCATGTAACCTCTTTTCCTCCTCTTTGATTGTATTTCCTTATTAGCGAGCATACATATATCCTGTACTTCTTTACTTGACATGAGCTATTCGATGGACTATAAAAAATGGACGTTGCAGACGGTAGGGAAACTATTTCAACATGCAAAAGAAAGAAAGAAAGCTATTTCCAGTAATGAACTTGTTGAAATGAACTGACTCTTTCCATTCGAAATCTCAAAACATAGATACTGCTTCAGCTGCAAGATGTATACATACTACACAATCGACCTCATGACAACCTACTGAGCCCGCCTCTAAATACTCAATCCCATCGCCTCCCTCATCTGCTCTTCCTTTGTTTTCGATCCCTCTCCATCCACTTCCTCATCCACACAATTGCATCCATACACATTACGAAACTGAAACGGCGGCAATCCCTCCAACTTTTCCAATGCAGCCTGACTAGCCCTAACCCGCGCATACCTCCCACTCTGCCCCAACGAGTAAAAATGCACTTTACCGTGAATCAAAACCATAGCTACAATCGCCTTTCCTTTACCAGGGATGACAGTTTCCGTTTCCAGAGCGCCCATACGCCAGTCACTACATCCAAAGTTAATAGTGAGCAGGCGACTAAGTCGCGTAGTAGGATGGTTCGAGGCAAAGTTCTCGTACGAATCGAGCTCCATATCGACGAAGAAAGGCTTGAGGTGCATTTCGAAAAAGGTCTGGACGACGCCAAAGTCGAACTCGGCGTCGACGAAGATGCTGGCGACGTAGGCTTCAATGACGTCGGCGAGGCACTTCGGCGGCTCGCTGATGGTGACCCAGTAGTCAACTGCGCCGCCGGCTTCTCGCTCGGCTTCTTCAGCTTCCAGGACGTAGTCGCGGATCTGGTTGGTTAGTGTGGCGGTATTTTGCTTGATGTGGACGTGCCAGCCTAGCTTGACGCATACAGCGCTGAGGAACTTGTTGGATACCATTGGTGTCTTGTGTTCGGTGAGCCAATGCGGGTCCTTATCTGGGTACTTGAAGTAGAGATGCGTGATGAACGCCATATCGAGAAGTGCATCCCCAGCAAATTCAAGTCGTTGGTAATTGGGTATACTCTCGTACATGTAGGGGTATGAAGGATGGGCGAACGCCGATCGAAGGAGGCGAGGGTACTTGAAGTGGTAAGGATGCTTCATCTCGATCTTTCGAGCCATGTCAAGCATCGCTGCGCTAGCCTCCACAGTCTGGTACTTTGGCTTTTGATATGCATCATAGTAGTCTGACCACTTTGACATTGTATGGTCCGGGCTGTTGGCAAAGAGCTTTACTGCCTTTACCGCTTCGTCCCAATCAGTGGGTCTCCATCGGCCCCCTGTGTAATGTTCTTGTAAGGCTGCGCCGATGAAGGCTTCACATACGTCGGCGATGCTCTTGTCTCCCAGGTTGTGTGTAAGCTTGAGCCAGTCGTCCTGGGATTTGTTCGCACCCTTGCCCTTTAGCAATTTTAGGCCTTCAGGATACCATGTACGACTACCAACGTCAGTTTAGGTTGTAGATTATTTTTCAACTTACATACCGAGAGAAAGATTCTGTGCGAATATATTTGTAAAGTTGCAGATCCCTCTCTTTGCCTTCTGCAGAAAGAACTTTCTTCGTTCCCACTGCTGTTTCCATGAGATTCTTATTACACAGCATCTCCATACGTCGAACATGAAATTCAAATTCGTTTTCATCTGGCTGCTGGACAAAGACGGAAAGTGACGTCGCCATCTTCAAGAAGCAATCACCTAGGAACTCCAAACTAACCCTCAACGTTAGCTTCAGTCTCTTCGTATGAAGCACACATGCACATACCGTTCGTAATTTGGGCCCATACCACTTTTGAAATTGATTTTCTCTTCGTCGTGCTCTTCCGAGTTTTCAGAATCCTTCGTCAAAGCCTCCAAGGCAAGCGCTGGATTGACTTTGAGATCCAGGACGTTACAAGCTTCCAATGCAATAAGATAGCTCTCGAAGCGGTGGATGATGGCCGGTAGCACGTAGCACATGACTACGAAGGGTGTCGCGAGCTGGATTGTTAGCCTTCGTGATTTGGATGCTTAGAAATAAGAGTAACTCTAAACTTACATTGGATATCTGGAAAGGCTCTGGACAAATGTACGCCTTGAGGTTGACGAACTCTCCCTTTTCCTTTTCCTCGATACGTGCAAGCTGATTTCGGCGCAGGGGAATCTTTTCGGCTTGAAGGACAGGTTGAGACTGGTTCCATTTCAAGATGTTCCTGCTTCTCGTCCATGTGCTATCGCTATAGTCTAGAATACTGCTCATGAACTTGTGACCTTGGCGAGCAAGACCTTTCGGGACGGGATCTTGTGGCTTGAGATGAGGAGCAAAACGTTCCGAGTAGTAGCGTCGACCTCCATTACCTGGATCTACAAAATAACGATTTATCAGATCCTCGGCCTTAGTCTCCGGCGTCCATCTCCATGTTGGTTCGTGGAAAACTCTGCGCAATTGATCCATATCCAAAATCTGGTCTAGGGTAGTCACGGAGGACAAAGAAGATGCTCGATCCGGATGTACGGGAACAACCCAGTAAGACATGTTCTGAACATTTTTTTCGAACTCCTTGTTGTATATGTCTTTGTATATGCGCAAGGTGCACACTGTAACTATTTCCAGCATCTCTGCCGACACAGGAAGCGATACCATAGAAGATCGGGAAACAATGTTGGAAGGTCTGCCATCCGTGAGGTAGATTGGAAATTTTGGCAATCTCGGGAGTTGATTCCGGGTAAGGAAGCCCAGAGGTTGATAAGGCCGGTCAAGACCAGCATCAAGATCAACAATCGTAAGAAAGAGACTGGCAGGGACCAAACCCCTTCCTACTTGCCAAAAATCTGGTTTGATGAGCATAAGATACTTACCCTTCTTCTTCTCACCGAGTGCTAGTAAGGCGTTCCTTCCAGCTGGTAATCGCTTGATGGTTGTTGGTAGTAGGTTGTCATCTAAGAAACCCTTTTTGTAGAGTTCTAGACACGCCTTGTATGCTGCCGAACACTTGGCGATTGCCTTTTTGCTCTGCACATCACCAATGGTTGTGTTGACCGGTGAGTGTTCTGGGAGTATCACTTCCGACACGAAGCCTCTTCGTTGAGGACCTAGACCGTCGTAGTTGAGATCAGGACAGACCACGTATGTGGGCTGTAGCATAGTTTGTCTGTCAGGTCCCGGCAGGGTTGCGACGAAGTGATTGAGAATAGCCAAGCTAGAACGAAATGAGAGTTTCGCACCGAGTTTGGTGATGAAGCTCGGATACAACTGATCCTCGAATGTCAAAAGATCCATGCGTTCATTGTCGTATTCATCAATGTGACGGTCTTGCGGAAGTTCTCTGCAGAACCGCCTCATGACTTGCTCATCAAGTTTGACGTCCATAACTCGCTCGCGGTGATCATGGTTGCCTTCTTCAATCATATGCAGATACTTCGAATTCCGATGCCTTGCGCGGCCACGGGACTGTACATATGCAATCATAGTACGATAGAGATCGAATCTGACGACCAAGTTGCATTGAGGGATGTCAAGGCCTTCCTCAGCGACAGAAGTGGCAAAGAGGCAATTCAGCTCTCCACGTCGAAACTTGGCCACAGTGAGAATCTGATTGCGGAGAGATATGTTTTGCTCATGCTCACGGGTGTTGACACCAACCAGTACACTACACCGGAGATGCGGGCCACCAATCTGCGAGAAAATAAGTTGTAGCAACCGCGCTGTCTGTCGCTGTTCGACGAAGACGATGCATCGAGCCTCATCGCTGCGTTCGTAATACAGGTTGAGCCAGTAATGGAGTTTCTGGACTTTGGAGCTCACATCCTGGTCACTCAGAGTACACGCGCCGAAATTGAATTGTTGAACAAACTCGGCTGCCTCTTGCAAGCGCTTCACCTTGGCATCCCACTCTTTGACTTCATCCGGCCGATTTTTGGAGTGCTTGAGACGTTCTCGCTGCTCCAATTTGCGACTCTGCTCGTCGGTAAAGACGAAAGACCAGTACATATCAGAAGCCCAGCGTCCAAGTTCTCTACCATGGCGCTTTGATGCGAGAAAGTACTTGTCAAATGCGCTTATGTCTCCAAATCTGGCTTTGATCTTTTGATGTAATGGCGTCTCATGCTCTTCCTGCAAGCGGGGATACATTGCGACTTCTTCATCTGGTCGACTGATGCTGTTTGAAGCGAGTGTGCTCTCGGCAGTGGTGGCAATCTTGGAATGAAGCAGCTTCTCTAGATTCCCGGCAGCCTCTTTGATGTGATCTGCTGACAGCCCCTTAGTATCAACAGGAGAGGCCGTCATACCGAAAATGCGGGGCCGTTGAGAGACGTCTGTCTCTTGGAGGTAATAGTCCTTCATCAGACGGGCATAAGGGTGGTTGCTTTTGGCATGGTGAGCCTCATCGAAGATGAGAAGATTGATCTGGGACATGGTAATGAAAGAATGCATCATGCATTGAACGAGGACTTCTGCCGTGCAGACTATGACCATGTTCTTATCAAAGTGGCTCTGCCAAGTCGATTTTGACCATAATGACGCGCCCATTGAACCACATATTCCTTCGACATTTTGGTCGAGACCACAGCGCAGGACGTTTGCTTGTTGGAAAACGAGGTTGACTGAATCGACCTGGAAGTGTCAGCTACGTTTGTGTAAACTGGGTTGATGGACCTACAAGAAAGAAGGCCATCTTTGGAATGCCGCCTCTCACCCGGTGGTCAAGCTCTGTGTCCAGGACATGTCGCAATAGAAGAGTTGCAATGTGTGTTTTCCCGGACCCGGTATCCAGTACTGCGATCACATTTTCAGACTTTGCTCTTTGGAACAGCTCAGTCTGGTAGTCACGCGGATTGGTGATACGGACTGTTGTTTCTTGATTCGCAAGAATATCGCGAATCGAGAGCTGCTCTTCTTTAGCGCTTTTCGCAGCTGCATCTTCAACCTCTCGCTGGGTCAAGACTGCACTGATATTAGTAGCAAAGGCTTTCATGATACTGTTCTGCGCTCTGCGTTTCTCCACGCTTGTCGCAGGACCATGACTACGCGCATCGTCGGCGTCGGATTCTTCGTCCAATTCATCATCATGTTGCCCAGACTGCTCAATCTCGTTGTCATCTTGGATAGATATGGTGCGGATAAGACTCTCCTCAGATAGGAAGTAATCCTCCTGCTCCTCTTCAATTTCAATCCATACCATTTTAGTGATTGGGATACACTTTGGGCGTCTGAAGTGTCACAGTTGCCTTAAACGCAGCAAAAAGTGTAAGTGTTTCGCTTGAGTGGGTTGGTGAGTGAAGGTAGTAAGAGGAGGTCGCTGTTATTTTGCGCGACTGCCTGCCTGCCTTGCCAATCAGCAAACAACGCACTCGCCCGTGACCAGGCCCTAGCATGTTACACAATCTTGGTCTATGCATTGAAATAGGCGGTCAGTTTCATTCCCGTATGCCAAAATGGGCGCATCATCAACACAACAGTGAATGCTTCGAAACGGGCGGTCGATTTACGGCGATGGCGGGGTACGCGATGCTCAACTCGGAGGACCGTGCTGACTCAACACCATTTCACGCTCTCACGTGGCTACGTATCGAAACTTCCTCATCATCGACAAGACTCCAAAACTCAATCTCCACAAAATGTCAGAAGAACCGCTGAGTCTGCGAGGGCTCTTCTCCAAAGCTGAGAAGGCCCGCGAAGAACTTTCATCTTCTTATGAGCCAAACAGTCCCACCTTCCAGGAAAAGCTCAGCGCAACCATTGCCACTTATGAAGAATGTCTCAAGATCGCCGAGCAGGTATCGCTATTCAGCCCAAACGAGTCTCTCGAAGATATATCATCGACTGATTTACAGTATGTTAGACCTTATTGATATGCACGGCTGAGTTTCCACATCCTTCCCTTTGTAAACTCCTGCTTACATATTCACCAGATACCTAGCGATAAACTACCATCTGGCCGAACTCGTGCAGAAAATCTCAAACACGGATGTCTCACTAAGAAAGTCAAATCTTCTACGTGCTCGGGGTTACTATGAGCGGTTCCTCAAGTTGCTGGATTCCTACGATATGCTTGGCAAGGCGGATACGAAACTTCTCGAAGCCTACAACGAAGACAAGAATAATTTCTCTACTGCCAACACCCGGGATGCAGCAGCAAGAAGAGATGCCAAGATTGCCCGGTTCAAAGAGGAGAAGGAGCTTAAGCGGAAACTTGAGGTAAAATTCACTTTATGATTGATTGCTGTTTGTATAGAAAGTGTGTGAGAGGCTAACTGCGCGACTAAAGTATCTACGACAAAATCCCAAACTAGCAGAACAAGATGAGCAGGTGGTCCGAGATCTGCACTTGACCGATCTGGCATTCATGGTACATCAGACTTTTGCTTCGCTTGAGTCAATGGCTCAGGAACTCCACATTATTTCGCTGGCGCCACCTGCGCCACCGCCAGGCCAGGACCAGCAAGCACCCGACGCCCGACAAGATGGCAGAGGCAAAGATGGATATTCCGAGCGCCTGGATGGTCAGTATGCTGGTTTGAGGTACTCTGGACCTATCTTGAGTAGCGATGGTAAACCCATGCGGCCATTTACGCTATTGGACAGCCGCCAAACCTTGAAGAAGGGCGTCTTCCGTCCGGATCACAACCTGCCAACCATGACGATCGACGAGTATCTAGAGGAAGAGAGGAAGAGAGGTGGTATAATCGAGGGTGGAGGCCCACAGTCTGGAATCCAACCTGAGCCAAATGAGGATGACCTTGATGCAGCAGATGCTGAGACGATGAAGCAGCGTGCGTGGGACGAATATGTAGAGGCGAATCCCAAGGGCTCAGGAAACACATTGAACAGAGGTTGAGCATGGACAGAAAAGGCCACCAAATAGCTGAATGAAAAAAAAAGAACAACAAGATTCCAGTTCTTGTCTATAGCTTCTCAGGAGCCAATTCGGGCCATTTCTCAATCACAAGGTTGAACAGCCCCTTGTTCAATACTGCATAGCCCTTGACATCCAAATGCAATCCATCGGTGAACCATCCCTTTGGAAATGACTTTGAGCCAAGTAAGCCGCAGCCCGGCGGCAATTCGGCGTCGTAGTCCCATCCCTCCTCCTTTGCCAGCGCATCGACGATATCCTGCCAAAAGTTCAACCCCACCACCCGCTGCGTCTCCTCGTACTCCTTTGCAATCTTCATGACTCCCTCTGCGTACCGCTTCTTATTCATGTACGTCCTATATCCGAGCATTTGCTTCCTCTTGCAATTTTCCTGCTCGACCTCCGCTCTCGACATGTTTTTGCTGATAGCCTCGGCTCGGCTGTTGATTGGCGGTGGCGTGATGAGAACGATTTTAGTATTGTCCATGGCTTGCTCCGTGAGAATGGTGTCGAGGAAGCCACGGATGTTCTCAGAGAAGACGGGCCAGGGCACATATTCGGTGCCTCCCAAGCCGACACAAGCATCGTTTGCGCCGAGGAAAATGGTAAAGAGGAGAGTTTGTGTTGCGCCTGGGGCTGTGGTGCTGCGTATTATGCGGGCAAAGTCATCTTGCAAGTCGGAGCTGGTGTAGCTGTGTGACGGATTAATGCTCAAGGCACTCGAGAGCAATTGCTGGTATATGGTGGATGGGCATACCCTGCTCTACCTGTTGCGATATAGTCAGTATATATGATCAGGAGAGGGTACAAGACCCTTTGTGGCAACAAGGTGGCAGGTATACGCCAATAGAACCTATGGCGCAATACCTTGATCGGCGATGGTTGCTGAAATTCGCACCTGAGCCTACCTTCATTCACGATCCCCACCTTGTACTGGTACTTTTGCTGAAGAAAACGGCCAAAGCCCTGAGTAGTCTCGCTAAAGCCCCACTCAGTGAGCGAATCACCAAAGAGCACAAACTCGGGCATGATGGATTTTGGTGGAGGGCCCGCTAACGCCAAAAAACGGATCGAGCAATTGGGGAAATCAAGGAGAGGAAGGAAAAAGAAAAGGGAAAAAAATGGAGCAAGGTTTGTGTGTGCAAATGAGAGTGACTTGGCTATATTCTAGGACTGCTCGAGATGCCCTTTCGGGCTTTGTGCTGGCTCGGGCTGACATGGCCTGCGCGAAAAAGATGCAAGAGAAGAGAATACGGGCAGGATAGGCGCACGGTAACCGCATGGGGCATGGGCTCGGTATGGAAAGCCAGACCACTAGTAATGCATGTTGCTGTTTGCTGCAGCTACGACCGCCTAAAGCTTGTGCTTACAGCAGTCACACTCACTCGCATACATATCACACTATGTCCTGTATGTGTGTATGCGATTCGCAGGGCTGGAAATCTAGAACATCAACCGCATACAGTGATCGACGCCCCATGTCTGTCGGGAGATCTTAGAGACAAGTGTCTCGGCAGTGAATCGACGCGGTCAGAATGATGTCAGAGAGAGAAAGAGAAACGTTGTCAAGAAGAAAGTTACGCAAACGTAACTACTCGCTCATGCAAATTCCATAGCCTATCAATTGTAGACTTAGAGTTTTTTTTTCCCTTTTTGCTACAAAGCAACGAACATCCTCATCTCGCAACAGGCATCTACCCAATAACCCACACCGCATCATTAGACTTTGGGAAAACAAAACCAGCCATCACTCTACCAGCCATGTCCCTGCCAACCACGCTCCGCACACTACGCCAGTTCACGCGCATCCAGCCTGGGCTCTTCCAGACCACGCGTGTTACCTTCCCTTGCGCAAAAACCTTCTCCACAACTTGCCCCAACAAAAAACTAATGGACACTTCCAAACCCGCCTCCAACATCCCAGACCCGCATCCCAACTCAAGCGCAGCGCCAAACGCCAAAGTGCGGTCGGATAGCCAGCATACAGACCAGCAGTCGAGTGCCTCGCGCGATGAGGGGAAGCAAGGGGATGAGCATCCGGCGAAGCAGCCAGACTTCCAGGAGCAGCCCGAGAGGACGACGGGGATTGGAGGTGGAGAGCAGGTTAAAGGGGGGAAGGAAGGGCTGGATGAGAGGGCGTAGTTTGATGGGTGGAGAAGGGGAACGGATGAAAGAAATGTAAAACATCTGTGTAAGGGGGAAAAATAAATTGGAAATTGACAGACACCAACACAAAAAAAGGAAAAGAAACAGCATGATAGAAGATTCAACTATAATTTTTCGGCCTCATATTATCAAGTGTCTAACTTTTTTTTTCCCAAAACCTTGATGCTGATACTAATCTTCCAAAGGATCTAAGAGGGCAGACCAACAACCTGGAAATTATAGTTACAAAGCGGCTTCTCCTTTGTAACTTCAATACTGCCATAGCCACCCCCAACCATGCTGCTTCCATCCCACACTTCAACCTGCACTTTTCCGGGAACCAGCTTCTCCAGCCCAGTAAGCTTGAACTTGTTGAAGCCCGGCGTGAGGGAAATAATGTTGCCCAATCGCACGTTGCCGACCTTGACCTCAGCCTTGAGACCCTGCTTGTTTTGTGCCACGAGGAGAACACCAGACACAGCGTCTTCACCGCCACGCACGATACTGTCTGGCTTGGCGATTTCGTCGGCGTAGCACGAACCGCCAATGGTCAGAGTGTGATGCCAAAACGTGCCTTGGACGGGTTTGCCGTTGGTAGGGTACATATTGGCAGTTGAAGTGTCGCCCCTCTTCCACGCGTTGATGAAGGACGGAAGAATCTGCCAGTAACCAGTGTGGTCGTAGCCGTCAGTCAGAGCTTTTGTTCGGTCGTCGAGCGGTTCCGGGTGGAGGCGGCCCATGTAGTGGCTTTCTCCGCCGTCGTTCCAAGTCTGCAGCTGCACCATGTCGGGCTGGACGTTCAGAATCTGACCTATGCGGTTCTCGAGGTTGTCTTCGCCACGACGATACCAGTTACCATAGCTGGTGTGTTTGAATTGGAGGGGGGAAATGCCCATCATGAAGTATTTGTTTGCATTCCTTGCGGCAGTCTGGAAAGTGCGGTCTACTGCTGCTGACACGGTAACCCTGCCTTCTTGGACGGTGGGCCAGGAGTTCCAGTTGAACACACCGTCGAGAGCACTGCGGCCCTGGAAGAAGCTGGTAGTAGGGTTGTAGACCTCGGAAAAACCGGGTATAATCAGAACATCGCCTACTTTCCTCTTGAACTGATTCCACCGGTCGTTGCTGATATTCTCGCCGCCAAAAGTAGATAAAACAGGCTTCCGAGCATCGCTGTTTCGGTCCTTCATCTTGAGGTACGAGGGGCGGCCGCTGTATTTTGTGAAATAAGTAGCGTAATCAAGAGGGTCTTTCAAGATTCCTTTGCCGTGATCAAATGAGAAGAAGAGACTGAAATCACCCAACTCGTCTGCATGGTTGAACATGAAGTTGATAGTGTCATTGGACCACCACTCGAATTGATCTTGATTCTGTTAGAAATGCCAACGAGAAGAAGGATGTCAACGAGTCATACCATAGTTCAACGCGAAGCCGTCAAGACCAATGCTTTTCGCATCCTTGATATCCTGAATAACATCTCTTTCTTGAACACCGCCGACCATGTAGTGTGCGATGCTGTTGAGGTAAGGTCAGTGAAAACTACTGAAGAGACTCAGAAAATACTTACATGGGCCTTTCAACAAATTTGCGTGGCGCCACTCTACACAATCCAACGCTAGCCAAAAGGCCAACGGACACTGCGGAAACAAAGCGCATCTTAGTAGCACTTGTGCTTTACAAACGCTAATCCAGAGATGACTTTATGGTTACCCTGAGCGCGGCTCTGTTCTCTTATGTATGTTCTCCTACCACCCATGGGGGCGTCAAACACTGGTCTGCCTCAGGCCTCCAGCTATACAAGTCGGTATTTTCTGGCCAACCCTTCAATAATGGCCTAAAAACCCACCACTACGTTCAGGTACAGGCATGGCCATGAAGAGTGACGTCGTTGCATTATAGTATTTTTCATTCCACGTCATGATTGGTGCCTCAGACTCATTGCCCCGTAGATTTTGGTGCTTGTCAAATGAGCACATCTCTATTAGGACCTCAGGCGTGCAATCCAGCGGTAATGCCGAGGTAGAGTACATTTTTGCGGTACAGAAGTCGTATTCGCGCTGCTATGTGGATATTGTTATCGTTGGTGGGATCTGCTAAGCATGTCACTATGCGGCGTATTGCGCGACGGGCCGCGAAGTCGATGGGGAAAGTTTTCCACCAGCCGTGATCTACATAGCATCTGACAAACACTATGTCGACTGTAGCCTTCATCCATGCTCTTCATCGTTTCCTTGCCTGAGCACCGCCTTCATAACAGAGCCCGAAACCCGAGCATGTAATATCTCGAGCTAGCTACTTTGGTCTTTCACAAGAAAGCCAGCCTGTACCCTGAGATGAGCACGTACAAGTGGAATTGGGCGACTCCAGTAAAATTCAGTGGAGCATCATACGAGGTCGGCGACCAAGGTTCGACCTATCTCAGGCGACCACCGCAGAAGTCATGGTCCTCGTGTTAAGGCCATGCTGGCTCCATATATGACGATTTGGTCCACAAATGTCTTCTAGCGACATCCGGAGCACCCGAGAAAAGACAATTGTGAAGGCCTTTGAAGACTTCTTATCACAGCAGGTGCACCTCTTGGGGGATTGAAAAAGCCGGATCAAGACTGCCTCTTCCACAACACAGACAACTGCGCAATAAAGCTGACACCACACACTACCTAGATACTTCGAGTACGTGATTAGAGGGCCCTCATGTCGGAAGATTTCTATACGTTTCATCAAGGCCACAATGCTCTTTGTAACAATCCAGGCTGTGGTTTTGACTGAATGTTGGACGTACCTAGTTTTTTATCGATCTATTTCGGCCCCCCGAGGGGTACTAATGGTACTCAGAAAGGAGGGTTAGTCGCAGTGTTTGTCTAGCGGCGTATGGGTGGAGCAGCCTTTTGTGCGTCGATCTATTGCAAAAAAGCACAGGCGCCATCCAATTCCGAGAATTCTACCAAGGCACAATGGATGGCAACACCAATTCACCATTGGGCGCAATAGACCCGATTGACTATTGGTGTACTTTTATAGAAGTTTTCCTTCTTACCCGACACGTGGATTGAGTAAGCGCTGTGTACCTATAGGTGCAGGGGCTGTCCAAACATCGCTACACGTAAGGATGTTTTCACGAGCAGGTATCCACTTTGTCGAGATTTGAAAGATGGAGAAGCCCGAGAATTGAAGCGGGACAGGGTAGATGTTAGATTGCACATGTATTGACGAGAAGCCTATTCTGGGGGTTTCCCGCTTAGCATACGTGGCTGCACATTGCATTGGCTTCCAGGCATCTTGGAAGCTACACTGGTTCAGGACCCCAGTCCTTTGTGGAATTATGCTTCTGGCAGCAGCAGAGGGGTGATTGAGGACAGCAGCTGTATACAGGGCGTGATAAGAGCTTGACGTTAAGCAGCGGACTAAGATGCAGAATGCAGGCACGCGACCGGGGCCCAAAGGTTACCGTTGTGTCGGTATCGGTACTTAATTGGCGATAGTGTGGGAGGCATGGCGGCGTATTAGACGAAGCATTCACGGCGTGCCGGAGCATGCACCCGTTTGCTCTGCTGGCGATGGGCAACAGAATCCCACACGCTGCTTATCAAATGTGGGACGGGATGGACCCTAGTCAGGATCGAAGGTGAGTAATGGAGGCAGGGGGAGTTAGGGTGGTAATAGCCCAGCGGTGCTATGCTCGACTGGAGCAGGTGGGCAATACACCAAGACCCAGGCCCAGAGATAGCGACATGGCTGGTGGGGAGGGCAAGTCTGGGCGGATGAATAGACGGGGGCGAGGGCGAGGGCGAGGGCGAGGGCGAGTGAATGGGAGAAGGATGGAGAGAAATTTGGGAGGCCTGGCCGGCAGACGGCAGACGGCAGACGGGTGGCGTGAGGGTGAGGGTGAGGGTGAGGCAGGAAGCGAGACAGGAAGCGACGCTGCAACGGCTGGGTCACGTGCCATGAGTGTGAGTGTGTAAAGTAAGTTGCTTCTGCCGCCGCTAGGCGGTTGGCGGTGCCCCGGGCGGAGGGAGAGGGTGAGGGTGAGGGGGACCAGCATCACCGTATCCTTGACCGAACGCGGCCATGGCCACCAGCACGCCTGCGCGCCGGCATTGAACGCTCGACTTACTTTTGCCATGCATGTTGCCATCTCCACTAATGCCGCCTGCACATCAGCGAGCCCATGCACGCCCCCAAAAGCACCCCCAGGCTTCTGGAAAGCGGGCCATGTCATGTCTCCGCCCGCCTACTTACTATTCATGTACCTACCGACTTCCTCGAACTTTGTCCTGTGTCGTGCGCCCGTCCCTCACTATCCTCCACCACTTACACCCCACGCATGCCCGCCCTCGAAACAACACCCATTTAGCCTCCCCGGACTCGACCTACATAAGCAGTGATATGCCCGTGACCTTTCCCTGTCGCCTAAACCTTGGATCCCGTTGTCAAACACTCATAGACCTGCCCGTTGCCCTCTAATGCCGGCCACAGCGCCTCGGTAGCATCAATAGCCGGGCATACAATTCAACATGTCCGGGTAAGCCTTAAAAAAATTATTCCCAAAAGCCATACCCTCTCGGTCATGCCAGTGCTGACCTGTTCTTCAAGATCCATGCGCGAGGCCCTCAAGGCGCTCAATACTACTTTTTCTGCCGATGTCGTTCCCTATCCGCTGCCCGACGAGCTTTGCGCAACCATCGACGCCTTCCTCGAACGCTACCATGACATCGATGACCATGACTCGCACCGCTTCCACGAAGACCTCCATGTCCTCTACACCCGCCATGTCGCAAACAACCCTGACAAGCGCGGCGCCTTCCTCTCCGCTTTGCGAATCTTGCGGCCTGCAATCACCGGCGAGGCGCGCTTGACCGCTTGGTGGAATTCGGTTTTCAAGCCCATCATCGACGGTGTGGGTTACAAGAAGACTGAGATGGAAGATGCAAAAGCCTTTATTCAGAGCATATTAGTGTACGATCCCGAAGCGGACAAGGACGAAGAACAGG